ATTTTGTTAGGTATGATTTACAGGAACAAAGTATGGAATGAGACTACTTTGTTGATTGCTGATCCATGTGGGACATTGTTCATACACAGCAACTACCTACCTGTCTAGTTCCTATTGCTCACAAACTGTAGAAATACCAGAAAATGTGCTACATATCTATCAACAGCAATATACCATACTCACACATAGGCAAATTAAGTAAATAGTCAAAGCCAACATTTCTGAAGAACAAGTTTGTAAAGGGCTTCAGTGTAACCTTCAATGTTTCAGCTAACAAAGCTGCATGTAGAGAATTCTCCAGTGTGTTAAAATAATTAATGTTCTTTGTACAATGAGTACCATGCAGTTCAATTCTAATTAGGAAACCAAACATGTACTACAGGCTAACAAAGAACAATGTCTACTCTATACACCCTACAATTGTTTTAACAATATTTCAGTTCCTTTAAATATCCTGGACAACAAAAGCAAGCAATCAAACAACAGAATAGGAAGGCCTAACTTCTGCATTTTTAAACACACATTTACTAAAATGTACTATTTTCTGTTAGCCTTATATCCCACAATTTTTATCTATGTATGAAAAAATTCATATCATTTAGAAAAGGTTTTCTAGAACATGAATATCATATTTAGCTTTTAAACTGTTGGGACTGACAATTAATATTTCTTCACTTAAAATTCTCCATTTAATAAGGTAATAATTTCCCCTCTAGTCACCTCTTCCAGAGGTTTCCAAGGTATTCTCCACAATCCCCACTACTACCAGCCTGTTAAATCTGCAAAGGTGACACACAATGAAGTGTTGAGTTTCAGTTGAATGTTTGAAAATTTGCATAGAAAGCTTTGAGCTCAACTCTCAGTTGCAAAGTATTGCATGCACACATAGTTCCGTATTCCTCTTTCACCGATGTTACCTTTAACTTGTATTATTAGTCTATAGTTTATATGCTTAAACTGTGCATTTTAAATCAATAAATGTAGTATCAGTGTCCATGACTTTGTTGGGTCTCTAGCTGGAGTGGAGCCATCTGGGAAGCACAAACATCAAGTGATATTATATATTATTTATTTATTTAAAGTTTTTATATGCCATCCCCTTGCTATATAGTCTTGGGACGGCTGATACTCTTCCTACCCAATTTCTCAAATGATTAACGGCAAGTAGAATGGATGAGAAATTTATTCACTCTTTATGAAATTATCTGATTTACACTTCCTGGAACTAACCATGGAACCTGACACAAATTGTGATCAGAAATCCACACATTTCTGGAATGGCAGTGTGCAATACAAAGGAAAAAGTGTTTGGCAGCATGTACACATTTTAAAAAAATGTGTAAAACACATGGGACATGTACAGATGCCACACTAAGTCACCTTGCGTATACATTACACAATGTGAGTTGTTCAAGAAAAAACCCCTGGTGTGCCTGACAGATAATGGTTTCAACACAGCTTGTTCTCACTGTTCTTCCTCCTCAATTTGTGAGGCAGTATCCCTTCATGGGGAAAAGATATTTTGTCTCCTATCCCAACAGAAAGTACCTTTTCTTTTGTTCTCAGAAATGCACATCTAGGATTATGAGGGGAGGAGTTAGAAAACTGCACAATTGTGTTAATCATTATCATCAAAATTAACATTGTCAATCTTTTCTCAGCTCACCCTTAGAGCTGCCTGATATGTGCAATTTTGCCTGTTCAATTACCTTGCATGTGTCAGATGTTAAATGGAAAACTACAATAGGTAATCTATACAGGATTTCACAAGTAAAAGCTCCATATGAGCTAACTTGCTCAGAATTGTTGGGGTCCAACAATGTGGAGCTGCTCAATCAAAAAGCACTAAAAGGGGAGAAAGAAAAAATAAACAGAAAAAGTATGTGTATCAAAAACAGGTGGATGGGTGGAAAACAGTATATTTCACTTAGCAATGTAGTGCCTCAATGTTAATGACAATTTCCAGCACCCTCTACCTTTAATCTCTTCTCTGAGTCACCACCTAGTCCAGAAAGGGGAAATATTGGCTCCCTTGTTTGCACCTGCTTTTCAGAACATGTATTTTTGCTGCTTTATCCCTCTTTTCCAGTGCTTTTTAATTGACAGCCAATTGGTCCCTGGCTGGGGGCATGATGGGGAACTGTGAGATTTTTTTCTCTCTCAGCATTCACAGGACTGGACCTTAAGTGGGTGTCGAGAGATGTGGTGATGGTCTGAGTTTCATTTTGGTCTATCTGCTTAGCCTGTTTTGGTAGTAACTAGGGATGCCTGTTAATATCATTTAAAGGTCATCTTTAAAGCTTGAAGCTGTCTTCTGTTTCAAAGGTAGTAAGACAAAATATAACCCTGTAACATATTTCAATACACTGATCTTGCAAACTGGAATCAACACAACTTTAAGTGTTACACTATTAATAGTTATGACTCTCACCTTATTTTTTAAATTTATTCACAAAAGGACTTTCTCTTAGTTTAGCATATTATATTAGGAATGCCATAGGGACATGTTTGAACTAAGTATATAAGTAAATATGGTCAATGTAAATTGCTTGAATGTATGAATAAAACAATGCATTACTGATTCATACTGGCTGCATTCACAAAACATAACAGCAACTCTGTGTGGTCACCATGATCTCTATCTGGCAGACAATCAAGCAAGTTTCTACTGTATCATGCTCCCTGCTCAGTTCTAACACTGTTGTCATGTATCAAGTGGCACATCAGCCAGAATGCCTGAATTTCAATCCCAAGGTGCATCACTCCCAGCCTGTCATCTGCCTCTCCCTTATTTTGGCCCACACACAGAGCTTGGATTCCTGCAGTTGCCATTTTAACAGAGAACTTATGGCAGTTGCATTCCAGGAATATGTAAACCATAAACCTGGGTTCAGAGAACTTGACAAGCCATGGTGGTACAGAGAAACTATAGAACAAACTGTTGTTTCTTATCATGGTTTCTAAAGGCCAAACTTAGCATGGCAAAATTCTATGACTGGATTCAGACAACAAAACAGACCAAAAATGGTAAAGAAGCACCATGGTTTTTTGCTTTGTGTGAACACAGCTACTGAGTGGCATGACCTTAAATCTATTGATATCTATTGCACTGAGGCACAAATCTCATGTCAGCATTCTGAGATGGAGACACAGAGAAAAGATACTAAATTCACTGCAGGAAAAACACTTATCAAACAGACTATTTGTAATTACTTTATAAATATAAATTCACCAAAAACGTCCTTGTTCAAGGCTGAAAAATAAAAATAACATGATTCTTATTATAGAAAAATATAAAAGTAGCAGTCTCCAAATAGTCCCAGTTAGTTTTTCAGGATAACAATATCAAAAAGGTGACCTATTTCTTATACAGTGCTGCTTAGACATTGTTTGCCTGAGAAATTAAATATTTATCTTAACTTGAATAATTGCCTAAAAGTTTTAAGAAGTCTATAAATGAAAACCTTTATGCCTTTACTGATTGTGCAGAGTGCTTAGAACTCTTTACTGAAAAGCATAAAACAAAATTCTCACTATTACAATTTGTTATTTCACCAAGATTGTTACCTGTAGAAGACTATCATTACATATGTAGAACTGATGAGTGAGCACTCGTTAGTCTATCCTAAAATGTCAAGGGACACATTATTCCAAAAACTCACCAGCACAGAGAAATTATAGGTACACTTCTACTGGAGCCAAACGTTCACATTCACAAAATTCAACTTAGAATTTTGAGTCCCTCCAAGAATATGAAGGTATAGATGTGTAACAGGTGGGTAGATCTGTACATATTTATCCAACCTCTTGAATAGTGTGTACTATGTACTATGTACTATGTACAGATAGTACTATGCTAGTACAGATATTGCTATTAAAAACCTGCTAACCTATTGGTGAGAAAATAAGAAAAACTGGAAGATATATTACTGCAAGGCAATATTTGGATTACGATAACACCTGCTACTATCAGTCATGCTTTGAGAACCATTACACTTCAAACTGAGATTTCACAACGCTCAACTTGTCTATCATGACGACAAACAGTAACCAAAATACACAGTCTTTTAAGTACAGTGAATGTCTAGATCGTCCCCTGGGACAATGCTCTTTAACATTATTTTGACAAGATGCTCTTGAACAACACCAACCAATAGATATTTGCAGGGCAAGCACAACATTTTACAGTAAAAAGTTCATCCACTAGGCACTTGCAAGGTGTAACCGAAAACTGTTGGCAGGGCAAGGGCAGAAAGAGCTGCAGTCCGATAACTTGGGCCAAGAGCTCCAGATATCGCAAGGGACACAGACACAGCTCTCTCTGGCTGTTCTGCCTCGGCTTCGGTTTCATTTGGCAAGGGGGAAAGCGACAGAGAAGCAAGCAGCAGCAGCACCGCACTCCGCGACCTCCACCCGCTGCAAACATAAACAGAAAAAGGAAAGCCCGCTTCACACACGAGCGCGCACACACACACCCTTGGCCAGCTCCCACCACTGACACGCCCCCACCCCAGCGCAGGAGGCTCCCCTTCCGACACAGCCTCTGCTCCCCATGCCCGGAGCCCCCTCACCTCCTTGACGGGCGGGAATTTCTTGCGGCACTCCAGGCTCAGGGCCCGCAAGTCGCCCTGCATATTTTCCAGCAGTTTCTTCACGGCCTCAGGACTGCTGGTCCCGGCCATGGCTCCGCCGTGCTGTGAAGGCGGCGGTGGCGGCGGAGGCAGCGACGGGAAGCCGACAAGGGACAGGCCGGCCGAGCCAGCGTCGCCGTCTTCGGGGGTGGCGCTCTGGGGGGAAGAAATCCCGGGGGAACCACTATCCGCGCAAGCAGGCGGCTGCCTCCAAGTCCGGCCCTGCCGCGTCCACGTCCGCTGCCGCTCCCACAATGCCGGGCGCCGCCACCTCCGCCACACGTCAGCCCCGCTTCCGCACTCGGAGACCGGGGAAGGGGCGGAGCGGGGAGCGCCCGGCGGCGGCTGCGAGAGTCGGACGAGGTAGGGAGCTTTCCCCGAGGCGCCCGCGAGAGCCGACTAAGCTTTGCGGGCTCCGCGTCGTTGCCTTCGGGGCCCGCAACGAAGGCGGTATTAGGGCTTCGAACCAGTCGCGGCTCAGTCCTGAAACAAAAGAAATAGGGAGTCTCCGAGCGAGTGCGGAATGCGTTTCCCGCAGCCCCGATAGACCACCGCATGCACACACGGATACGCCGCCCCTATGGGATGGTGGAAGGACTCCAGCATGCAAGGGAGGCTCTGCGGCAGGCTCCAGCTCCAGCACGCTTTTCTTGGAAATGAACGTGCCTTGTCAGGCGTGGGTATTGATTTTTTTAAGGTCGGTAACGATGTACTTGTTTCGCATTTAAGATACAGTCAAGCCCGGGATGAGAATTCCTGCCGTTTACTTGTGAAATTCTACATATACCTACTAAGGGGCAAATCCTATTAAATTACCACTAGGGCTTGCCGCAAGGTAAGTGAAAATTGGACTGCATCGTTCAGAGGTTGCAAATACTGTCAAAATAGCGGCAGTGTTCGTGGCATTTTTTTTTTTGAAATAGGTGGCGCATTTTTGCCTAAGCCGTTTCAAGCCTGGTGCACTTCCCCTCTTAAGTACATTTTGTCGTCATGATTTTTAAGAGCATGGAAAAACAAATTCTTCCATAATCTACTTCAACTAAGTATTTCTCCTCTGCTAAGGTTTGGGACCTAGCATTAAGTGAATTTATAGACTGGCATCTGCTCTTGCAGGCATTCAACACTTGAGGAATGCCTCATGCTCTATGGGCTCCTGGTGTTCATGCTTAGTTAAAGGAAAGTTGGCATGCAGTTTTTTCCACACATCACAGCAACACGATTCCTTATTAACAGCATTTCAAGGGCTGAGAGAACAGGTTAGGTCCTCATGCATGGGTAGCTACCCCATGGTTTCCTACTGCTACTTCCATCTTTTTTCTTAACATAGAAAATAGGTGAGAATAAAGGCAAAATTATTGCTCTAATCCATTATGCTAGCAGCCCTCCATTTGGAAGCAATGATCAATAAAAAGATCAATAACTCTTTCTTTAAAGACATATATGCCTTATGCTAACATACTACAACTCTTTATCCTGTATATTCATAGTGGTAATTATGGAATATTCAGTTGAGCAATGCTTTAAAAAGCCAGACCTGTATTGGCATGAAGGTTTGGGGAGTCATTTGATTCCCCGAGAGCTTCCTGTTTTGCCTCAGGATAGCATCTGGTCATTCCTAAAGCTTCCTCTGATTATGCAGCATTGCAGTTCAGTCACTGTGGGAGTCTGAGAAATGAGCTCTTCTTTTGAGACACAGCTCAGGCTTTTTTAAAAGTGTACCCAAACAAGGTGGGTGTATGGAAAGTCAGGATCTACCAGCAGAACTCCACGTGATTTTCAGTAGATCCACATGTTCCCATTCTCAGTTGTTTAACAATAGCAATCCATATCTTCTTCCCTGTTAAATTAGGGTGTTGAAATGCTGAAAATTTGGGTGGGGGTAGAGAAACAAGGTGTGTGCTTATAAGAAGATTGAGTTCAGTTTTACTACTGAAAACAAATACTAGTACTAAGATCGTGCTCAAAAATCTGATGTCCTGGACCTTAATTTTAAAGTGTACCTCTGCGCCTCTGAACCACTATTTTGCATTTAGCTTTGGTGAATGGACTTAAGCCTAGTTCCCAAATGCTTATAGTTTGACCACCTCTGCTGTAAAAGGTAATGTAAATGTCAGAAGCAGAACTTTGAAAAAAGTGTCTCAGACAGGTACACTTAGAGGTACAGGGCTAGTTGCATCTTCCTATGTTCTCTTTATACTTTTTCATCTCTGCATGAACAGTAAAGCATTGTCAGAGTTTTCATTGTGCTCCAGATGACTGCTGTGACTGTAGTAGAACAGTGGACAGGAAACTCTCGAGTTTCTGCTGTTCACACTACAGCAGTGATCCCCAAACCTTTTCAGGCTGCTGCCCCTTTCCTCTTGGCCAGCAACCCTAGTGCCCCCACACCTCTTTCTTTGTATTCAATTGATTGCTCTACTGCGAATTTTTAAAAAACCAATCACTGTCATATCCTGGTTCTTTCCACTGCCTTCAGTGAGGCAGTCCTGCCCGCTTTGGGAATTACTGCATAAGAGCATTGAGACTTGGCTTACAACGGCACAAGTCATTGTGGGAACAATCCTGTGGCCAATAGACAAAGGCTACATGGCTTTAGGAGGATTCAAAGTCCTAGCTCTGACTTCAGGAAATCACTCTAAGGTTGGAGCTGGGATGCTGAATGCAGAGCATCCTCTCCCTGCCCTTGTAGTTGGCATGGAAAGAACTGGACAGGGTGTTGCTCAGGGATCACAAGAGGAACCTTGGAGATGGAGTTTTGTGGCAATTCGAGGGAGTGGAGAGGGGTACAGGCTCCAACAGCATATCTAGCCTTCCCTCGCACTCTAGGGAAAACACTTAGATGGCTGAAATCAGTTAAGTGTTTTGTATAGCAGAAGGAATATAGAGGTGACTTGCCTCCATGGTCCTTCTACCCTTCACAGGATACCCATAATCCCCTGAGTTTGAAGGATTACAAGTAGTCACACTGGACTGAGCTGCCCTTGGGTGAAGTCTTTATTCAACTTGGAATAGGGCTTCTGTTAAACATTACTAGACTGGCAACATTGGTATGTTTTGGATTACTTCAGTAAGAAGATTGGAATGATCCTTCATGTCAGTGCAACAATGCTGTAAGTCGGGCATATGATTAAGATGTGTCATATACATAGATGGCCAAGTGTCTTTCCTTACTATGTTTACTCATATGTTTAAAATAAATAAGCCTCAAAAATACTTTAATTATCCTGCCACATGACCTTTAATTGTGTGTTGCACTCTAGCCCTAAATATATGCTACACAGAGAGACAGAGAGCACAAGCACTACTTAACAAGGAAATCCAAATGTGGGTGCAAGCATATTATATTGCAGGGGTCTCCAAACAAAGGCTCAGGAGCCACATGCAGCTCCTTCAGTTTATTTGGCAGCTTGCCACCCATGGGCACCCACTTGCCGCTTGCCACTCATAGCCACCAGCTTTAGGTGCCTGCTTTATTTTTGCCAGAGTTTAAAAATGCTGTTTACTTTTGGTAGTACAAAATGATACACGACATGGACTGTGAATGAAAAATGTGCATGATTTAACAGTTTTCTGGCAGAGAATATCTAAAGCTCTGCAAGAATGTGTGGTGTTAACACCATTGTATATATTACCATTTTTGTTACATATTTTATTCTAATTATTGTAGGAACATAGGAATGTTGTATTTAACAAGTCGTCCCTTGAGCTCAATATTGTGGTGACCTAATCTTATAGTGGTTACCTAGACAGGAGACTTTGAGCCCTACCTGCAAGATATGGGGTTAAACTGTTCTGAGATCATCTAGTACAGTGTCTCCCAGAAGGGTATGTGTATGGGTGTCACTGCATAAAAACTAGCATTGCTTGTAACTAATATATGGTCCCAAGAGAACAGGACCATCAAAACCAATTCCCATCACCAAAAGGTAACAATATTCAGACATTAGATCACCCACTGATCAATCAGAATCATTCAAACCACAACATGCTGTATATTGGGAAGGAGAACAGCAAGTCTCAAAGGACAGCAACAAGGAGGAGAGTTTTGTCAGTGGCAGATGCCTGTTGTGAAATGCTCTTTCCACTTAAGTCTGTCTGACCACCTTTTCAGTGCCCAGTTAGGACTTTCCTGTATTCCAGGAGATTTGACAGCATGTTTTTTAAAATACAAGTTGTTTTATCAAGTCTCAGTATCATTTTCTCCATTTATGGTATGGTAAAATGGCAACCTATAGTGTTCTATTACCAAAAATGTCCAGCAAGAAACAGAAAAGACTAAATAAGGCCTTGAATAGCTTTATTGAAATTTTTATAAATAAAACATGCGCATTTCAAATGTAAACCCAAGTGAACTCAAGTGCAGACAATTTTTAACCTCTGTCATGCAGGAGGCTAGCTTACATTAAAAAAAAACATAAAGCAGCTTTAAAATACCAGGATGAAACACCAGCTTTTAATATCAAAGTATAAAGCAAAGCCATGTCCACAAACCTAATTTTATCCTGGTCAAATGCAATTTTAAACTTTTAAATGCTAACATAAATAAATAATTTACCAAAATGTGCACTCACAGAGTGAACTTTATTTACAATACACAATTTATAACCTATTGTATTTGATTAGTTCAAGTGAAGATCATACTTTTTGCTTTAACAATGGTGGGACTTCAGGTAGTAGATATGTGAAGTGTGCCTCCACACTTAAGGGAATTCCTATCAAAGGCAGTATTGTATATGAATCAACAATACATTCTTCCAACTATATTCAAGGGAAAGCAGCAAATAAAACATGTTTCAAAACTGTCACATCTATTTTTGGCATCCCAGACTCCTTGAACACAGTTAATTAAAATCCAATTCAAGGTATGTATGCTTTATCTACTTACTGTACAGGTTCTGACTCTTGAACATGCAAATGCCAATTCTATAATAAGTTACCTTTTGAGATAAGATGTAAGGCTATGGTGAATTCCACCAAAACGCACATGAGAAATTAACAGACCTACCTTTAAACCAGTTGCCCATTAACAATTTGAAGGCAAGTTATATGGAAAAGTCATCTAAGGTTGATGCACAGTCGTTACTATGAATACGGTATACTATTAAAAATCGGACCCTATTACACTGTATGTAGTTTGTAAATTGTCAAACTACCAAAAATGGGGGGAGAGACTTACAGCACAATTAAAATTTTTGGACTGACACCAGATTAAAGTTACGCACATCTTATAAGCAAGGTAACAGGAATTACAAAGTAGATCCAACAAGCAATGAGGGATACTTACATTTAATTGAAAAATTCAATTCCTTAATGCAGCATGAAATCCAGAACCTGTTCCACAGCAGCAGTAAGATGAACATAATATTCTGGAATATTACTTATACCACCAAAGGTTAAAACACCTTTTTCAAGTTATTATTTTTTCTATCATGATTAAGTTTCTTTTAAATCCACATTAATTTCAGGGAGAAACTTGAAAATTTGGTGTTCCAAGAAAACTGCTGCACTTAACGAGTCACATATACTGGGAAAATCAATGTTTGTTACAGGTATATGGATATACCCATCCAAAATTACAGGCACTGCAGTAATATTCTTGTGGTGTTAAGACAAAAACGAAATCCACAAATAGTTGGTATTAACTTGCATCCCAAACAAAGAAACCATAATTCATTCAAACTGCAGCAGAAACTGTAAAGGTATTTATTTGTGATTTCCTATATATAGCTTGTGAATACAAGATTGTAAAGGTATTGGAGACAAATTCTGTTAACATTTTCATTGTGTTTCACTTCAAGTACTGCACAAGTTAAAATTTAAGAAGGATTTACATTCTGTCATCTGAAATTTCCCATCTCAGATTTTATTTTTAATTTGGTGGGCAATTTCAATGTTTCAATAGATATCTCCCACAAGGAAGTTTTTCTCTGTATGGCTTCTAGATCTTCCATTAGTTAGTGTGCATACAATTTTCATTCTCTATATCATTGTCATTCTCATTACTGTCTTCATCACTCTCTAAAGGGATGCCCGTGGCAGCAGAAGCACCTGGTTTTGTTTCACGATCAAGAGGAAAAAAGCCAGTTCCAGTGATTGTGTCCTGTCTCTGGTAGAAGAGCACATAGGCTGCTTTGGACTGCAGAATTAAAAAAACAACAACATACAGTACTAATTATCAAAGTCATATCTTCTATTATCTCAATTTTCCCTAGTTCAGAGTCTCAATCTTATTAAAGGAAGTGACTCTACCATAGAAACTAAAGAGTTCTATTCAAGTAAACAAGGCACAGTTTATACCATCTTTTATATGATCTCTATATGTTTCACCTTTATGTTACACAGATAAACACTGTTAGCCTGACCTTTAGGGTAAGGTGAAGCATTCACCTAAGAAGGTCAGTCCACCCTGATTTAAAACCCTCTATGTTTGTCCTTGTCTGCAATACCCAAATTCAAAATGTATTTATCAAATAAAACGTATAATGCTTTCTACAATTGTTTTCTGCAAGTGCTAAGCTCTGCATAATGTTTTAGAATACTGCCTTTTTGTATTCTGTAAATCATGCTCTTAATAAAAGACCTATGCAGATTTGTCTCAGATTTTGCTCTTGGATGAAAGAGTTATTTTTAGAAAACCAAAAGATACTTGCCACTATTTGGTCCTCAGATGCAGTGGACACGCTACTGTCATCAAAATAGTACCACTTCCCATCATCCTTATTTTTTGCAAAAGCTGTATCTAAGGTGGAAAAAGAATGGTTAACAGAAAGTGCTGAGAACAGGCCATAGTAATTAGATTTCAATATACATATAAGGTGATTTACTTACAATGCCCTCCTCCCATGCCTCCATAGTGGTTTGACACTGCAATCAAATTATAGCGGCAGGGCCCAGCATTTGGATTAATAAGAAACTCTGACATATCCAGATCACTGTTTAAAGGAAGTAACAAATTAGTTGTGAATTTACAGTCAAGAACTGGAGGTGGATCTTTAAGAGAAAAGCATTGAAATAAGGGATTCAAAGAGTATTGCGAGCATTTCTCAAAAACTTGTATTCATCAAGACTTTGTACACAAACACTAATAAAAAGGTAAAGGTTTCCCCTTCACATGAAGTCCAGTCATGCCTGACTCTAGGGGGTGGTGCTCATCTCCGTTTCCTAGCCGAGGGAGCCAGCGTTTGTCTGCAGAAAGTCTCCGTGTGGCCAGGTAGCCGGCATGACTAAACACCGAGGTGCACGGAACGCTGTTACTTGCCCACCGAAGTGGTACCTTTTTATCTACTTGCATTTGCATGCTTTCGAACTGCAAGGTTGGCAGGAGCTGGGACAGAGCAACGGGAACTCCATTGTGCAGATTCAAACCGGTGACCTTGCAATCAACCAGCCCAGCAGCACAGCTGTTTAAACCACTGTGCCACCTGCAGTCCCACACACTAATACATATATAATGCATGCCCGTTTTTGAAGAAGCAATAGTACAAGGCAGCTGGTAAAGTGGTCAGTGTCAGATCAGGATGGGAAAAAAGCACATTCAAATCTTCATCAAGCAGTGAAGTTCATGGGTGACTGTGGGCCAGCCACATTTAATGTAACTTATTTCATATAGTCTGCTCTATAACATTGGAATGGGAGAGAACCAGGTATATTGCATTGTGTTCTTTGGAGGAATGACCAGATGTAAACATACTCAATAATTAAAGTAATCTTCATATAAGCAGGTTTTAATTCCATAGATGGCCTAACAAACATTTTTAATCTAGGTAAATTTATCAGTGAGTTCTCTTTCCCACTGAGCTTCATTGCAACCGTAATTGCTTCATTTGCACAGGGCTGCACTTTCATATAAATGTATTTTGGACCTTAGTGTTAGCCATTCATGTTACTATTTGAGGTATTACTGGGGAAGAGAACAACTACCATGATAACCCAGTTCATGTTTAACTTGGAAGCAGTAGAGGAGCAAAGAGATATGGCTCTACAACACCACTTAAAAAGCCTGAGTGGCAATAACATTCAATACAGACTGAATTCAGTAAACGACAAGTGTTAATTCATGCTGACTTTATGGAACAGCTAAAAAAAACTATGTCAGGCTTAACTGAATTATCCCATAGCCTATGACTAATCTTTGACCTTATTTCAGAAATCTTTTGTGTGATACGGAGACATATTCCCATGAAGATTAATTTTTGTTAAGTTCATAAATCAATTAAGCCTCCATAATTTGTAAGTTTGGTTATATCAGTAACTAAATACCAACTTTAAATCCAAATATTAATTAGAATTCCCAAAAGCATTGATGAAACATTACATTAAATGTAAACATGACACTAACAATTAATTCTGTGGTTTGCTTACTTTATCGGGAAGTCAACCAAAGTATCCAACTTATCTCTCATATATCTGCTGTAAGAAAAACGTTTTAGGTGCACTACCAGTACTGGTGGCAGAGACCACAAATCTAGTTTTTTGGTAGCTTGCTGATGTTCTTTACAGTTTGGGCAATACCTAGGAGAAAAGACATTACATGTCAAAGCCTTTTGTTACAGTAAGTAGAAGTATATGATAAATAAATGCTCATCTTGATAAATAAAACATGAAGACACAATTTATATATGCTTTCCAATTTATTTAAATACCTCAACTAGCCTAAACTGGAGGGCTGCAATTTCTTCTGAAGCCTAAGGAAATTTAATGCTCTGCAATGGGACACTTAAACAAATGAGCTTGGTTCGTCAATATACATTCCCCTCTTGCCTGCATATTCCTGCTAGCTTTCGAGTATAACTATGGAAGTAGATGGTTGCTTTAAAATACTGAAAAAATATGTGCTGTAATTTATAATGAAGGTCTTTACAGATTTGAGGTACAAAGAAAGCCCTGTAGATATTCTCTGGAATTCTGCTCAGAGACAGGTTTGGGCTCATGTGTTCCTTTACCAATTCCTCACACTGTAGGAAGCACTAAACAACCAGTGAGGAGGTTCCTACTCCTGAGGTTTAGCTCCATGTGTTCCCCTTTCCTCCATGTGAATAAACAGCTGTCATTTATTCCTGTACGTATAAGTAAAATGAGCCCTTGGACCTTAAAGTTTAGTTCAAGTCACTCATTCAGCATATATTGTCAGGAGTTCCATGGGATAAGCACATGCTGAGATGGAAAGCACATGCTGCCTCCCCCTATAAGTCTCTGCAGCATGTACACCTTTTCTAACCTTTCCCATGAAGTAAAATTCTAGTTGAATTCCTTGTTTCAAATGCATGAGTTTCCAGATTGATCTTCCTAAGATAGCTAAAAGCCACAATGCACTCTAAAGTGAGGAATATGAAGTGCACATAAGGGTAGAATGCAATAATTACCAAGGCAGGTTTAGCTAATTCAGAATGCATTAAATTAATGCAGAGTGCTGCATTAAAAACTAATTCAGAAAATAAAAAAGTCATTTCTCCAATATGGTCTCAGCAGACCACCAGTAAGCACCACCTGCCATAATATGATTAACCAATCCAACGTATCAACTGCATTTTTGTTCTTACCATGGATCTTCAGCACCCAGCTTTTCCTTTGTTGTGAACAACTCAATACAATCTTTTAATTTCACAAAGGGTTTTTTTGGAGGCCTATATTCCACACTTTCATGTTTTTCAAAATCCTAAAGAAAAGTATTTCTTGAGTTAAAGTAACAAAACTCATGCTCATTGTATCGTATTACTATAAATAAAGGATTCTTATGTTCCCAAATTTGGAAAGATACCTCAAATAGAGATCTTTGCTGCTATTGAACAATGTAAAATGCTTCTGAAAGGATTCATTTACTAACTAGGGCTGGTCTCCATTTGTTCAGTTCCAGGGTTCAACTTAGTTGGAGGAGGCACTGGGGCAGATCCAACTGAAATGGGGTGAAAGAGGGTAGCATAAAATGATACACATTTTATAACTATGAGAATGCTAACTGTGGTAGCAGGAACTCTCCCTTTATTTTATTCAACTGTTAATCGTTCCTGGTGGTATGACAGCAGGACCGAACAGAGCTGATTGTGATACATCATTCTTGAGGAGAGTAGCTGCCATCCACAATGGGTTCTCTTTCCATGAGAGTCAATTGATTATCATAGGTTGGATTGTCTGAGGAAAACAAGTCACCTACACAAACTCTGGGTTATTCTAAAGACTGTTATACCCACAATGGGTTGCCATGTCATCCAAATCCAGGTGACCAATCCCAGAGTGGACACCAAGAACTGGCCAGCTATTTACTTGAAAAAGTGACAAAAAAGTAGTAATGGTTAAGTCTGGCATTAGAGTGGGTTTCTGCAATCTCTGTTTTGACAGCCACCAACAGTTCTTTCAATAGCCATATGGCCTGGCAGAAAATGTCCATTGCCCTGTCAAAACCCAGGGAATCCAGCTAGTTGTCAAAGCCCTATTCTCCTGGAAAAAGGGGGTGGGATGCACTTTTGCATTTTCCTGAACAGCTAGTCTCGGGAAAAAGTGAAAAATGAGCATCATCCCGAGTACTATCAAGGAAGAGAAAAAAAAAGAAAGCATCTTCACATGAAGGGAGCATACATCTCACCACCCCCTTTTCACAGCTTGTCTCTTGATAACCATCAAGAGAAAGCAAAGTGGGAAAACACCTCTTTGTGTTATTGCTGCTCTCTGAGATTGCTCAGCCAAGGGACCCCATTTCCATGTATGTTTAAATGCAGCTAAAGCAAATAAAACAAATGATTTTTTTTGTGATGGGACGGGGCCAAACAACCCACAGTAAGCCAGATCTTCTGCAGGACAAACAATCCAAAGTGGCTTAACCCCAGGGATGAATATAATGATATAATGTACCCGGTAGCTTTTAAAAAAGGAACAAACCCTGTTGCCACTGTCATGATGAAACCCACAACTTTTAGAGGGTCAAAATGTTCCTGGCATGGATATCCCAGTTTATTGAGTGGCAAGTTAGGGGCAGTAATTTGGTTCACCTCTAAATATGTCCAAGTGGTACAATTTTACTAAAAAATCACATACCTCAGCAGCATTTTCATCAAAGAATCTCTTTTTATATTCAGGATCCCAGTCCAAAGCCAAGAAAGACCTTTCTAAAAAGGATAGTACAAGCCTCCTTTAAAAAATTGTATTTAATTCAAAAAGTATTATAATTAGCTATATTTATATTTTAGACTTTTAATAAAAATAAATTAACTGGTTGCTCTATGTTCTCAAATGTGAAACAAATTATTGATATTTTGTTTTTAATAACAAGCTTTTAATATTAAGATAGGTGAATCATAAATAGCTGTGTCATGCAAGCCCACTACACATAGAGGAGTAATTGAGAACTATATGTTCAACTCTGGAGAACTTCTGGTCCTTGCATTCAGGATCCCCTTCTTGCTCCTGAGCTTCTCCTACAGACTCCCAGCCCAGGTGTCTTACTGATCTGCAGCTAACTAGAAAGAAAGGTTCTCCTCTGTTTCCCAGAACAACTACTCCATGTCTTAGGCTTTTAGAAAGTCTGCATGGGTGCTTATGGATGCTTTTGTAAAAAGGATAGTTGCAACATGGTGAGGAATTTTCAGGAGCAGTTGCTTTTGGGGAAGGCAATGACATGATTCCCAACATTGTGACTGCCTTTGAAAATACACTATTTTTGCGCAGCCATCAGGCACTTAAAAAGCCTGCACTGTTTCCAAAAGAAGGAACCCTGAAGCATTTTGAAGGCTGTGTGTGCATACCTGTGACTGTGTATACAATATGGAAAGGGGCTTTTCAGCAGTAGCTTCCCAGCTGTGAAGCACTCTCCTCTTCCCTCCAGTGAAACCTGTCTGGTACCTACTCCACTGTCATTTTGGCACTAGGCAATTATATTTTATTTATTTCAATTCAAGTAATTCTATGTCTGTGAGGTTCTGACACTTAGAAAAACAAATAATGAATTCTTTTGAAACAATTTCTTTTCTGCATGAAGCAACATCCAGGTGTAAGAAAAGAAACTGGTCTAGATTGTGTAAATACCACAATTCTTTACAGCTGGGGCTCAGTTCCTCCAGGTAGTGTCCCCATTCCCATTACTTACCCTCTGTTGTATCTATTGATACTTCTGGCAGTATAGTGATCAACCTGATAGTTTTCAGATAGGAACAGACCTTCTCAGCACTTGGAAATCTTCCTGAAACTTTGGGCTGGGTCCCTTTTGCACCCTCATGTTTTCCCTTTATTTCCACCTCTCTTCAGAAAAAATTGACTAATTTAAGAGTAGTAATTCTAAAGGATCAAAGCTGATCCAATTAGTGCAGGCTTATTTCCCCTCCTTTGAGAGAAATAAGGGTAAACACACTAATGACAAGGTTAAAATGATCCCTGTACAACTGCTTGTCCTGAGACCACGTGCAAGTTTGTGCACATATCTAGAGAAACACATTTGGTAACAGCTAGCTGATAATCTGCAACACTTTGAAGGAAGCAGAACTGGCTTTAGTTATGCTGATCAGACTACTGTAATGCCCCTGATGTAGGATTGTATTTAATGACAGTTTGACCATGTCACCTGATTCAGCTGCCGAAGTGCTTGTGTGGGCTATGTGTTTTGAAATTATACCATTTTTACATCAGTTGCATAGTTACTTCTGGCCTCATTTAAATTGCTAGTACCAACATTTAAAACCCTGATGAGACCAGGTAATTTGAAGGACCACCTACATCCCCAGGTGGGCCACTAAGCTTACTGAAGATGGTAAGTGGGAGTCAAGGATTTAGTGGTGGTCCTACACTTTTGGAGTTTCCTCCTTCACCTACTCAGATTGCCTTCCTTTCATGTGGCCTTTAAACAATCTTTGAAATACTTTCTTATTCTGTTCTATATATGGTTTTATCTGGTGATGTTTTTATTACATGTTTATTCAACTGCTTTGTTCTTAACATTTATATTATAAGCCACCTTATAAGGGCACACACTAAAGGTATGGTAAAATGAAATAAAGAGCAAATAAATAAAACTTATAATAATGATCCTAAACAGAATTGAACAGAATCACATATTCCAATATAAAACTTACCATCTAGCCTAAGCTGCCTGTCATCAAATCTTATGTGCCTGGTATCATCTTTGACATAATTGATGTCAGTATTGCCTAGGCTATTAAACTGGAATGTGAACAGTCGCTTTTTGTGCCCTGTAAGTTGATCCTTGCATGAGTCTTCTGTGCATAACCCATTCTCAGAATCATTATCTCCTCCAACAGAGTCTTCTGACTGACTGTTTTCATTTTCAGAAGGGAGTTCCTGATCTTGGCTAGATTCATCATCTTGTTCATCAGTTTCCATTTCACCTGGCATAAAGAATACAGTGACTTTCTTGCCATTTTTAAAGATGATGTTTAACATATATTGTTACTATATTTTTAAGGAAGTGAATACACCGAAAAAGTCAGCAAGTCTTCAAGGAAGCTCCTCTTGACATATGCCAGAACTAAAAGCATTTCTCTAATCTTACAAAGTACAATTAGATTCTACTGCTTCCCACTCATGGACAAGGCTATCAAAACTTGAACTTTGCTCCTTGAACAAAAGGATAGGTTTAATTTTACAGTTTCTACTTGGTTTCTGTCTCAACTTCATCCAAAACATATGTAGCAAATCTAGAAATTCAATGTACTTGGTAAGAAAATGTAGATACTTATGGACCTTGCACAAACAAACATTCCCAAATACAATAAAAGCAGTTGCTTCTTTAGGCCTAACAGGAAGCTCAAAGATAAACACATTGGTTGTTCATTCACAGATAAATGCCTGAACTTTCCCCGTCAGAAATCTTAAGTGCTGTTTGGCATCAGTTGATATGGAAGTTCTAGCTGAGTGATTTGTCTGTGATGGCTACTGTAACCCTTGCTCCTTAGAAATCCTTGTCAGTCCTACACCTGTGCTACGTATCAAGATTTCATCAAGTACTGCTCACATAATTTCAAACCTAACACCAGCATGACTATAGAATCAAATAATATTTACAGCCCTGGCTCTATACTTTGGAATGTTCATGTCATCACTATTTTTTTGGCTAGTTCATCTCTACCTTTTTTCTATACAGAATTAACTCCTGTTTGATATGAATAAGGTTTCCTGATAACTGTTTGATATGAATAAGGCTTCCTGATAAGAGATGAAAAGGGTTAAAGCCTGTTAATAGTTTGTTCCAAATAAACCACACACTAGCATCTGTATCAAAAACATATTAAATAAGTTCTGAAAGTATGACAGGGAAAGGCAACATGATTTTCAAGCATCCTTGTCACTTGTATTTACAGTTACAGTCTGGTTACTAGCTTAATCTGGCCAGAACTACAATATTAAAGATGATGCAGCCATAATGTAATGCTTAACAACAAAAGAAAGCAATGTTTAAATGTTCAAATGATTCTCAAAATTAAACTAAAGTTTAAGCAGCTTTTCATAATTTGAGCCTTACTCGGGGATCCTTCTTCGTGAATTCCATTTGGGCCGTTACCATTGATACTGTTGTCCTTACAGCACTGCAATGATGCTTCAGTGTCTTCAGTTTCAGTAGCTGTCTTCACATATCGGCTAAAACATACCAATTTTTATTAATTTTTTTGTTCCTTTTAGTCTAACTATTTTTTAAAATTGCATGGTTACAGTTTAATAAAATGAACAAAGAGAAATTACAGCACTAGCAGATGCTGCACTACTGTTCTCCAGTTAACTGCAAAAGCTTACATGATATTGAATTGCACTGTTAATATATTAGAAGCCGTCTTGGGAAGGGTTTTGAAAGGAAGCTAAGAACTTTTAAACAAATGAATAAACCCAACCAACTAAAACAGCTTAATAAAACTCCCCAAACACGTTAAAAATAATGCATCAGAGCATTAGGAACAAAGAAAGGCAATTATGAAGATGTCAGTAATATAGAGCACCACACCAAAACCTCTGGTGAATTAATTTGCATCTGAGCCTAGTCAATCCAATATATCCCTGTACAGCCTTTCTGGGGCCTGGGTTTGTGAGGTCAAAATAACAGCAAGTGTTCTCAAAGAAACTAGAAGTAAAGTTTCATAATGTTTCTTGTTTACTTACCACATTCTCAATAGCAGAAGATTATATAGCTTATCTTCAGTAATGTTTCTAGGCACTGCTATAAGGAAAGGCTGACCAAAATGTGTGGAACCACTATGGTGGCTATAACCACTATGCCGAAACTTTTCTCTTAAACAAACTGGGATTACAACTTGTTCTGTATCTTCAGTCCTGTTGATGCCAATTTCAAATCTACAGAAGCAAAGGGAAAAAAATCTCATTTTAAAACAAGCCAAATATTTACATAAAGCTATTAAGCATTCTTTTAGAGGCTAAATGAATTACATAGAATTAATGATAAACAGTTCTTTTGACCATGTTTATGCAGTACTTACACATAAATATCATCACGCTCCATAATACTGCTCAGATTTTCATCCATTGCAAATATCCTATGGAATCTATGATTGTATATATCAGTAACTATCATCTAAAGCAGAAATAAAATTCATATTAATTCAGTGTGCTTAATCATACAGATAACATTCAATGTTGTGTGCAATTACTTATGAAATGTCATACCTTATCTGCAGCAACACCAGACAAAGTTGATAATGCCATGCAGAGATCCTGTATGTTTCCAATTTTGGGAACTACTACTTTGTACTAAAAAGAAAAGAAATGTTATTTTTAAGAAACATGGAGAATGGCTGCTCATAACTTCCAGCTTTAAATAATTAAGTGATAAAAAAACAAGTCTTATGAGAAGGAAGAGTGCCCTATGGAAGAGATTTGGTTGAAGAAATACATCAGGTTTACATATGAGTAAACCTGTTATTTATTTAATTTCTATACCACCCATCATGTATACTTCTAATGGTCAAAGTTGCTAATTCTATTGTCCTTCCATCTTCAAATTCATAAGGCAATTTGTTGTACTAAAGTTTATTACAATGGAAATCCTGAACTTCCAAGGCAAGTTTTCCTGCCCCACTAGATACTTAGTATAAGCTGCAAATAAAGCCTGCAATCCTTGAGTGAAGCGTGGCCAAGACTTTCAAGGCTGTAGCTCCGGCACTCTTTGATTACCAGGTACACTGACATCATCCGCCACCTCCACACCTCATTTCACTATTTTGAGTTTAGCTGTAACTCTCATAGTAGCTGGGGGCGGGGATGAATTTTCCCAAAACAATATATTGCTCCCTTTTATAATATAAAGTATTTGGGAATGAATAGGCAATTTAAGATTTAGCTAAATGATCTTAGTGTAGATGAAAACTGCCATAATTGGCTTATGGCCATAGATTGACATAAATGCCTCAACATTTGGGACCTCCTTGGGATTGTGGCTTTGCAGATCGTCATGATGAGTAGTTGCTTTTCAAAATTCAAGACCACACCAGTGATAACCGAACTGAAAAATGATGATGTTAGTCTGCTGAGAATTGACACATTATGCCATAAATATAATTTGTATAATCTGTAAGTTCAATGAACACTAACATACTGAGAACATAAGGATGATATACCACTTATTGATTTCCATATCCTGCTGTTTCAAGTGTAGCGTTACAACTTTCCCCTGCAACATTTACACAAGGCATGTCCCACCATGCATTTGAACCTCAAAGCTATCACCTTCTAGGGTATTTTCTTCTTGCCTGTAGTGAAATATTACCGTATTTCTTCATATGGATCTGACTTATAACTAGACATTTGTACTCCCTGGGAAATCTGACCAGTGAGATGTTATATTTATGTAGAAAATTGGCTTTTTCTTGCCAAATTGCTGCAGAAATTCAGCAGAAACTGAATATTTTCACTACAGGGAATATATCATGGATTCATTGTCTTCTCCCTTGTACACACCCGTTCCTTAAGCCACACTGTCCTCTGTGGGTAACTGATTTTTCATGACTTCTGAATTAGGTGATGTTACCAACTTGTTTCCAAATAAGAAAATCATGACACCTGATTCGGTCAAGTTATTGTAGCTAGTCCTGCCCAGAGTTGAGGGCTGCTATCTGCAAAAGTCTTGCAAACACAGTGGAACATTTAGACTTTTGAGTTTTACTGTTTTTTCCTTAACCTTGAAATGGGAGAGGACAGTACTATTCTCTTTTACCAACTGCCAGGTCTAATAATACAGCTTTCTCTGATGAGCAGGCCTACTGGAATTTTTCAGCTTGGGAAAACAATGTGAATGCATATGAAACAAATACACATACTTAAGAACTATAATCATCAGTAGCGGAGAGAAGGGCTTGGTAAGATTTCTTGGATCATTATTATTCAGTAACGCCCAAGAATGAGCTGAAGTGTTGCCTGTATCTCTCCTTTTTCCCCATAATGATGTATGAAGAACATTTAGTTTCTTCTTCAGTTGAGTGTTTTGGCTGTAATGTGCAACTGTCATCAGCTCATCACTTCAAACTATGGTGTAAAATGCCGGGGTTCTAAGCAAACACTTAGAACTAAGGTTATGACAATTTTAAATGTCAAACTATAAATGTCTTCAATGGCTGCAAAAATAGCCTTTCCTCTGCTGCAATTTTAGGTAAAGAGGAACATAGAACTGTGAAATAAGGAAACTTCATGTGAAATCATATAATTAACAGTTAGTAGGTACCATGGAAATCAACATTATACACTTTAAGGTTCATCTAACTAGTTCTATTAACTTTGGGTACAATTCAATCTGTTTTTAATTCATATTACTTAAACCTCTCATTCTCAAATCAAGATGACCAATCAATAAATGGTTTATGTGATTAGCTTTTTACTGCCTCATCTTACAATATAGAATTATTCCTCACTACTGAAGGATAATTGAGCATCTTTTTCTACATTGCTAGAGCAAATAATATACTGTTGTGATGAAAGGATTCAGCATACGTTTGAGGTAAGTCCTGTAATGCACAAGTAAAACAAGAAAAATCTTCATTACAATTGTTCACATAATAGGTCATGCGATAAAGAAAATGCATAAATGCTGTGAACTTGAAATGCAGATACTTCTTACCTGCATAGGTTTGGCAAGTGGATCCATTCTAACTAAATATACTTCCAAACTGCGTTCTTTTTTCATGGGTAGTGGGAGAGTCAAGTAGCAAAAAGGATCGAATGTTACAGAGATCTTGGCACACTCTGGACAAACTAGGGTTGATTTAAAAAGTCCATGAAATATATCAACAATGATGGAATCATTTCGCTTCAAATGGTTTTCCCAAGCTTCTTCAGCAACCACCTGAGTAAAAACACAAATTAATAACAAAAAGCATTACCTTATGAGGCAGGGCATGTATGCATGTGCTCTTACACTGTTAGAACTCTTCAGGGCTTTACAGCAGGAAAACATGCTAATATATTCCAGCAGGTGGTCATTAGGAAGAAGAAAATTAGAAAAGCAGGAAAAAATTCATGACTTGACTGCACAGGCCATTCACCCATCTCTGTAGAGTGCATATCCACTGTAACTAAAAATTTGTATTAATAAAAGAGGGACTTGTGAAAGATTGGCAGTAGCTTCCTCAAATTAGCAGAAGGCGGGTTAACTGGCATATGGACTTCGTCACCTTCTGAACCCTGGGAGCTTTTATGGAAAGCCTGTCATTATGTGAAATAGTTGCTGAAAGGTGGTTGATATGGTAAAACCTCAAGGAATACAAGGCCCTATAAAGTGCTATATGCCATGCTTCTTCATCCATATAATCATTGGTGCTGCTTTAATGCTACTTGGAACCAAAAGCTGCAGCAGTCTCAGGAAATTAATGGAAACTTAACGTTTGATACTGCATTGAAGTGTTCATACACTTTACTTAATGATTTTTTTCTAAAAGTATAGCTACTCTGCATTATTATTCCCCATATTGTAAACAAGGGAATTAAGAGTATGAAAAAGAAGGTTGAGTAAGGATGCAGATCCCAAATGTGTCCACCATAGTTTCGGTGCAACAACCAAACCGAATTAAAGGAATGGGAAGGGTAGCCTTCAGGACTACCTACCAGTTAGCCAGTTTTGAGTGATTAGACCTGGTCTTGACAATGGCATTTTCAACCACAAAGTAACTCCAATGCTATCTTTCTTCCTCCTACTCCAACAGTACTTTTAAAAAAGAACATTTAAATATTAAAAAGACTGCTTTGGCTGTTGACTTCTAGGCTTTGCCTCTGCTAACTTGCCCTCTCTCCCATAGCTCAGACTAGTGATCAGGATTCCCTGCGTGTTGGGAACCCATCTCAGGACTGGGAATCTCCTGATGTACCACACACTCTCTACTTAATATTCTCCCTGTCAAAGCTGACAGACATTCTCTTATTTGTAGTATCGTGGACTGGAAGGCTGATGGTAGTGAGCAGCTCAGAATTTTATGTCTGTTATGTCAACTATGGGCCAGACTGTGACAATATCTAGCCCAAAACAGGACACACTTTGGATCTGGTTTTTTGTTCTGGACTGGGAGAAAATGATCAGTAAATGAGGCATCAGTAAAGTATCTGTTAACAAGTACTTATCATTATCTCATCAGATTGAAATTTAGATTATACGTAATCTCTAAAAGGAAAGAGGACTGTGTCTGACTAGCCACCCCGAAGGCCAATGAATCCAGATGGGTTTTTTAAAAGGATTATTTATTTTTACATCCTGTCTTTTCTTCAAGGAACTCAAGTTGGCTTACATAATTCTTGTCCTTTCAATCTTATCCTCACAACAACAATCCTGTGAGGTAGGTTGGGCTGAGAATCTGTGGCAGGCCCAAAGCCACTCAGTTAGCTCCACGGCAGAAAGGGGACTAGAACCCAAATCTCCTGAGTCCTAGTTCCATGCTGTGAACCACTATACCACATTGGCTTACAGTTAGGGATCTTCCTGCAGCCTTAGCTAGTGATCTTGTGAAAGCTCAGGTCTCTGCTTGCAGGGTTGAAAATGAACATTGATACAACATTCTTAGGACAGCCACAGAGCTTTGGGGAAGTAGGATTCCAAATTAATATGATCAAACACAGGTAAGAATCCATATTTAATCTTATTCTGTGTCACTGATGTTAGCAAAGTTGTATTAAGTCTCTGCCACTGTTGCATTTGCTCAATGACCATCAAGCTTTATTCAGTAACTAAATGTGTCTTGAGTGTAGCATCTAAAATACCCACAAACCTCTGAAAACCTGTTGTGACCAATCTGTTGGATATTTTCCTGATAAAGTCACTTGTATCTCACTTGGATGGTATGGTTTTTAATGTAAGAGAACTAGTGCCTTGTCAGATCGTGTCATGGATGTGTTCAGTTTGTGCAACTTGAAGATGTGGCCAAATGGCTTGGACAATTGGTATTTATCACTTGCTCTTTAGATTTTTGCCTTTAAAAACAACTAGAAGTCAAACTGAAAAAAATCACCCATAGAATCTCCACATCATATGTCACCAGTAAGAACAACTAGGCTGACAATCACAAGAAGAGACCAGCAGTTAGTCTGATGAAACGGTAGGAGTTGAGTTGACCTTTCTGGAAGTTAATAGTAAGCGTATTTTGTTTCAGTTTCATTGGGATTTTTTTTTTTTTTTTTTTGTCTTTTAACTTTTAAGTAAATTTCTAGGCTTGGTCACAGGAAGATATCTGGATTGGAAGAAAATGCACAATTACTGAACTACATTATACTTTTGAGAAGATTTCATACAGTCTTTGAAGGGTAAAAGTATTATGCATCTTGTAGGACAAACAGTATCTAAGGCATACATCCTTGAGCTGCACTCAGAATTACATTTGCTCAATAAATGTCAATAATATATTTTTACTTTTTGATCAATATTCTATCCTAAATTATAATAAAGCAACATTACCTTATCTGGCCTTCCATCAGCATCTTTTAATTGAATATAAGGCTTTTTCCTAATTCGATTCAAATCCTCATGCAGGCCATCCAAAAGAAATGCAAGCAGTTCTTGGCAATCTTGTTGCTGATATCCCGAAAACTGTGGTGCGAATCGTCCTACCTGTGTCTAAAGGAGACAAGATTTTTATGTTTGTGTCAGAGGACTTTGTAGCAAGATTTTGGATTTTGTAGCAAGTGACAAGAAAAAACATCCCTTTTTCATAGATTTTCAAATATTTAAATATTATGTAACAGGGTTAAGGGTTCCTGCAATTTATAGGCATTTTCTTTCCCATTACTTCTATCTTGTCCAGTTGAGTTCCAGTTCTGAATATGTCTATCTAGACATTGTGTTCCAGTGTTCGGCATTAAGGACAAGTTGGAAAATCTATTAAGGTACTGACTAAGCCCCTGCTGAATGGTCTCCTAACCTAAAATTATGAAAGTGGTCTTGGATCTGCTTTTAATGTCTTGTGTTAGTGCTGCAGAACTTAAACATTCATGCCTAGGTCAGGGATAGTCAGTGGCCCATCACAGAAACTATTCTTTACTTCATTTTCTTGACTGGGCAAGGGGATGGTGATATAGTGGGATCTCTGACATTCCGTATTGATGTTTAGACTGGTAGAAGTCACTTCTTTCAGGAAGAAAGGTGAACCTGTCTGGATTGTTCACTCTTAGCAGCTAATAGAATCTGAATTATTCCTAAAAGTCTTTGAGGCTTTCCTGTTGAATAGCACTCCTGTCAAAATACAGGTTATTCTGTGGAATGTAGGGAAGATTCAGGTGATTGACATTCTTAAGTTTGGGATTGCTGACTGATCCAGCTGTCACTGGAGGTCCAACTTGCCTCCACGGAATGCAGTGTGCAGTTGAGGCTCTTCTGCCATTGATGTAGCACTTGTGCCCTCTTCAGGAAAGACCTGGCAACTATTAAATTATCCAGATCTGGTGACTTCCAAACTAGATTATTGTCATGTATATACAGGGGCTGCCTCTGAAGAACTTCAAGGAACTTTAGTTAGTCCCTTTCCGCATTGCTGAAGTCAGGCTGCTTGCTTGTAACTGCCATTTTTTAAGCAGGCATCTGTGAATTCACACATATGGGCTCTGTGCCTGCATGGAGCCTGTCACTGGGCAGATACTACAGCTAAGTGTTTGGGGAGGAACCCCAGCCCTTCATCTTCTCTGCATCCATTGGAAGGGGTTCCCCTCCCACTCTCTCAGCTCTATCGAAACAGCCTGTAAGTCCTGCTGCAGTCCCTGTGTCCCCTGCTGAAGGGCACTGGTTGTCTTCGTTTTGACATCAAGTGGGCAGGTATGTGAATGCACAGATGGCCACTCAAAGACTGACAGTTACAGGTAAGCAACCTGACTTTCATCTTTGTGGTCTCTGTGCATCACACATTTGGATGACTAGCAAACTCATCCTGGAGAGGATGGTAGGATGGTGTTGCCGCTGGAGAATAGTGGAACAGCTTTACTGAAGAAGCAGCCTGCCCTTGCACGGATGTCTAGCTTGAAGAAATTGACAAACATTGCGGGTGTGGACCATGTAGCTGCTCTGCAAAAATCCTGTAAAGGTATTCCTAAGAGGGCGGCTGTGGATGTTGCCATCACTCATGTGGAGTGAGCTCTTGGAAGGGTCGAAAGTTGTAAACCAGCCTGCTTGTAGACTGTAGAGATGGTGTTCATGACCTAGTCCGCTAGTCTCTGAGTGGAAAGAAGAGGGCTTTAGCCCTTTTTCGAAGAGCATTTGTGAAAATCAGAGGATATGTTTGATCATGGTGTCTCATGTGTCAAGGGCCTCCTGTTATGCAAAAGTTCTGAATGACTGCCATTTGGCTGAGACTTTCTTGTTGAAAGTCTGCTGGTTTCAGGATAGCATCAAAGGTGGTTCTGGTGCCCTGTGACAGAGTATTGACCAAGGTCTTTTCAATTTTTTCTTCACTCAGTATAATATGGTTATGTATTTTGATATCTTTATTTCTTTTCAGGACAGAAAGAATGGTTATAAATAAATGTCTAGGGAACAAAATGTTTAAAAGATAATGGAAAAATATGAAAAGAAACTGATAAAAATGTGGTATGAAAACAAAAAACAAAAGCTGAATATCTCATTTTGAATAAAAATAGGTTATTGTATCTGTGTACAAAGTGCATATTTCATTCATATCTTTCTAGTTTTTTATTTGTAATGGAAAATTATATACTAAGATTTAACTTGATTCCGAAATACACCTACCTTAAATGCCCGTGGGGTGACATAGCTGTATTTTCCTGACCACATCTGCTTGATGAGCTCTGCATACGATTTGGCAATTTCACCTCGCATTCCTAATGGATTGTCAAAATTCAGCTCCTCTTGATATTTATCATTAAGGAAATATTCAGTGAGTGGAGGGGTGTTGCTCAGACACTGTAAATCAATGTAAATAAAATTAAATACTTCTTTCCTCCTCTGTTTGCATGCTTTCCTATCAAGTTATTCTGCTTTAGCAGACCAAAAATATTTCAATAAAATTAGGCAGGTTTTTTCTTCCAGTCCAGTATCTTCCTACTCATTAAGTCTACCTGCCTGAGCTCACAAAGTAGGTCTTGGATTTTGTGTTGAGGACACCCAGCATTATGATTCTGGGGGATCTCAACTTTTGCCCTAAGGCTACTGGATCTGCATCTAGGGCAGCTCAGGACTTCATGGCTACAACATGTAATTGGCAGGGCAACTGCTTGCTTTTCTTGACTGGAAAACAAAACAGTGACCTAAATGTGGGGGGAATTAACATCTATTGCCTTGTAACAAATGGATTATGTACCAGCAGCCTTTACAATCTGAAGATATACTTTTATCCATACGATGAAGCAAATGGGTGCTAGGTAATTTTTGTTGCTCTTATGGCTGATTCAGGTTTTATTTTGGCTTTACACTGAATCTGTTTCAACTTTTTAAAGGTTTTATGATATGTTCTAAGATTTTATAGTTCTATCCTATCACGAACCCAGATAACTTTAGTTATTGGGCAGTACAAAAGCGTAATAAATAGTTCCCAAAAAGAGGAGTCTAGTAATATTAAAAATTGTCAGTAGCTATCCTATACAGAACTATTAAGGAACTAGCACAGAGTCTTAAGTTTCCCATGTAACACAAAATAACTTTGAAGTTGAATAGCACTCTGTTAGTAATTGCTATTCTATATTAAAAGCATTTAATGCAACATAGAAAAGAAGTTCATGTAATACTGAAATCCCTACCTGAATAGCTGAGTTCATGAAACATGTGTTTCCCAAGTTACTTAGGCCACAAAGGCCAGGCTGTTCATTGTGCCTTCCTGGCTCTGAGTAGTCATAATTCTTATAAGCGGTGTATGAGGGGAGGCAGTAGTTTGAATTTTTCACACTGGAAGAAAACAAAACATTTCACAGTGTAATTGCATAATGCATCACTGCAATGGATATACACAACTCTGCATTAGCACAGTAACACACAGGTTAATGACTGTTTAAATGAATATGTAGTTCAAATACTTAAATTTTATAGTTAAACACACTATTACTAATCCTTTGAGGATCTTAAACCAAAGGGCTATCTTTGTTCTCTCTCTACACTTGAACAAGGGCAGCTTCACTGCTCACTCTTTCTTCATTTTCTTTAAACACTTTTAATACAATCAGAACTTAGATACCAGAGGTAATAGTAAAGCATTTTCCTTAGCATTATTCTATTATACTCTGCTACTGTTAAAAACAAATACAGAAAAACAGGTTGTAAGAGTAATACTTTAGTTACTGGTGAGAACTGAGATTTCCAATAATGCACCTGATCCAAAGTACTGAGGATTCTATTTTTAGCTTAAGTATTGGGACCAAATAAGCCACCAAACTACAGAAGGCAGCCTGACGTGACCAAGTGACCAAGAATGCATATAAAGCCTTCTAGTAACACAGTTTAAGTGGACTTTTTAATATTCGCCTTTGTCAAGAAAGAACTTACCCTTAACTGGATATTTGCTAATTGAAGGGCAATGTATTAAAATGTATAAAAAGAAGGAACTAAGTATACTTATGAAAAACAAAAGGGCAAAATGACAATGAAGCAAGAAGTACCAGCTTTGCTGGCACATATTTTTAGACCCGCAAGCCACTGATGTTAATGAAACATATGCACATGTAATTGAGGTCTGAATTCCAGCTACACAGCCTGCTCTAGTCTGAGACAAAGAGATGTGGAGCTGGAATCAGTAGGGAAGCTCTTGTACAGCTGGGTGCTTACTTTATGGACAGAAATCAGGAGTTACGATGCTTTACAGTCTTAAAAATCATATGCTAAGTATGCTACCACAGTCTTATTCTATTAAGGCATTCAGAAATCAAACAGTGCAATTCTACTCCAGTAGAAAAGATAGAGGTTTTTCTAGTGCAGCCTGAGATGTGATTTGACATTCAAATTGTCAAGTGTACAATTCTTTTCTGGTTCATCAGCTGTAGGCTGCTTACAGTGTTGTAATGTCCATTAATAAAAAGCACCTGCCTTCATTAGAATACTCAAAAACATAATACTGAAATGACACACCAGTTTTAAGCTAGTCACAGGTATGTCAAGCATCTTGAATGTAAAGTATTCAGTGTGCATTTCTATTAAAAATATTACTGGAAGTAGTTCTGAATGCTTTCAGGAAGGAAAATTAATCAAATTAAGTTATGGGCGTATCAATGTTTCAACACTAATCATAATGTATAATGGAACACAAACATTTGTAAAAGTATTATCTCTGCAGATTTGTGAATGTGAGTTCTAGAAGAGAAACAGGGTGCACTCTTTCTTGATCTTCAGGTTCCTACAAGAAGCAGTCACTTCTGCCATTTCATTACCATATGATATTAAGCAAAGATGAGGGAAGTTCCAATTAAGTTTAGGCATGAGTCCCTTTTTTCCTTCTCAGAATGCCATGGCTTAAAAAGCTACCTGTTCCCTTTAAGTGATGTTGCCCCATAACATATACCATTCTGTGAAAACCTTGTTAAAGGGAAAGTTACTGCAGGAAACATAACCATGAATCATAGAAGTTCTAAATAACAGATTTTAGTTGGTCAGTACTGAACATTCGGTACACTTGAAGATAAGAAAATTTGTGGAAACTATTTGCTTGTATAAAACAGAAGTAACCACAGGTTCAGAAGGTTATTGCATGTCCTTTAGAAGGCAAGAGACCTCTGCCTTCAGTCAATGCCTGTTGTTGCTTGTATTGTGCTTTCCTTTCCTTGGGTTTGTAACAATGAATGTCCATAGAGATTCTGTGCCTCCTTTAATGAATAACTAAAACCCTTTGATAACCAAAATGAGGATATTTTTTGAGATGTGATACCAAATGAATATAAACAATATAAAAGACAAAAAGATTCCAAAAAGTGTGTCTGCTCAAACTTCAGAGCCGAAATACTACAATAGATAAGGGCAATCAGTATGCTATGGAAAATATAGCAATTATGTTTTATATGTACTCAAATGGAATGTAGAAACATAATGTAAGTATTGTGAAACAGAGGTCTTATTTGAATGAGATATAATTTAAAAAGTCAATATTTTTTAAGAGAGCAACAGAAAATATATATTAGAGTATCAGAAGTATATAACATTTTAACAGTGTAATTAAAACTACAGATATTCTATATTTACTGGCCTTTGGGGAGAAGAAACAATTATTTCTATTCCCAAATTTACAATTAAAAGTACACACTGAGTACAGGGAAGCTCAGTCCCTGGTATGTACATTCAAGACTGCATCTTGAATCTAGCAGGAATCACAATAAACTATAGTGTGATCCTACACATATTTACCCATTTCTCCTCAAAAATAAGTGCTACTACTACTTATTCTTAGATAAATGGTACATAATAGTAGCCTAGTTTACAATTTTTCAACCAACAAATCTGGGAGGGGAGTTTAAATATTTTTCACTGTACCATGGGCAGACTCCAACGGCCTGCCCAGAGATTGCTATGCATACACCAGGGTTTCCACACAAACTAGAAACTGGCAGTCCACCACCACTTCCCTGAAAAACTCCAAAAGGCTCTCTCTGGAACTAAGATGATTGTTGGGTGAACCTCCAACATAACAGATGGAGATGAAGTTACAAGTGGAAACTGAAAGTGTATACATGCACTACAGTACTTGGGAACTAAGCATGAAGATGTCTGGCTCCTATGCATACTTCTGGGATTCCATGTGCAATAATTCACTACTGAAATATGTTTCTATTGCTAGTTACCAATTGAGGGGAAAACAAGTCTTACCAAAATAACTACCATTTCCAAATTATTATTTAAGCTAACATCTCTAGATATAACATGTAATGGTATCTTCCTATGGATAGGGAAATCCATAGAAGTCCTTCAGCCGAAAATTAAACTTTGTTTGTGCTTAAAAAGCAAATCCTAAAACCCTTTCTTCTAAAAATGCATTTTTATCTTTAAAGTTCAAAAATAGAAAAAGTACCTGCCTGCCAGTTGTTAGACAGTTCCATGAAATAGAAGTGCAGCTGCCCTTTATAATACAAGCCCAGGGCACTTCTGTTGATTCTGAAAATTTAGTGTCCATTTTAAAATGAGATTTAGAACAGGCGACAACTGTCCCATGGCTTCAGAGGTTATGATATGCTTTTGCATTTAACATAGGTTATCAGTATTCTAATAAAAGGATAAGATCAATTTAGGCTGTGGTTAGGTTGTTTATAAACACCAAAAATATAACTTTTTTGAATTTACTATACACACACACACAGTACAATAGACTACAGTTAAATACATGTATTTGTTTAACTGAGAGAGCTGGGGCTACTCACAATTAGTAGAAGCACAAGTGCCACTTCACCCCTTAGGAAAACTCCCTTCCCATAAATGCAGTATTTAACTGGAAGATATTGTATAAAATATTTAGAGATATAACTTTTTAAATACTATAACATTTTCACATTTTATTCATAGCCGCAGACTTTGAGATTTTACGAATGAAAGGAAAAGCTGAGTATGTAACTTATTTTTCCACTATTCCTATGAGAAACCCTCTATGTGAACTATTTAATAGACTCTTATCTGTAGCAAACTGCAAAAAATGCAATGCACCTGTGCTATGTGTATTCGAAATGAACAGGGTAATTTATGAACTAACCATTTTAGAACAGATTTATCATGTTAGATATTTATTAGGAAAACATATAGAACTATGCCTTTATAATAAACTGATGAAGCATGTAATCCATTGAAAGGTTATTCCGTAACATGTAATCCCAATATTTTCTGGAATTACAAAAATATCTGATCTTGAATGTCAAGCTCCAACACTAGAAGAGCCTAAGCATAAGTAACTCATGTGAATAGTGTTCCATGTGGGTCATTCTTGATAAAGTATTTTCTTAATAAAATGGTATTTAATCAGAATGTGGTGCTATATAATTTGTTACAGTATCAAGATTCTGAAGAAAAATCAAAGCAAAAACAATCTTCCCGTTAGATATTTTTCTCAACACATGACGGTCTTGGTGACCTTTATGGCATCACTGCACTTGCACAGTAATAAAGTCCATCCAAGTTATTTATCTAGAATTATAAACAATCTTTTGAAATTATACTTGGATGTTTAAAATTAAAAGTTCTTTAAGATGTGTTGCTTACTTTCTGTTGTTGATGTTGTTATAATTATTTGATAGAGATGGAGAGATCTTTGGCAAGGTTGAAAAATTGGATGCACCTGGGGACCTTTAAAAATATGAAAATGTTAAATTAGATAAAAATGTTGAGATTGCAAAATTAATAATGAAAAAGGAAAAGCTAACAGATGAGCAATGTATGTAAATAAGTATGAAAATAAAGTTCTTATGATCAGAGCAATAAACAGCCAACAGAAGTCATCCAACCTCAAAATACATTTTAAACACATCTCACGTGTAATAAACAGTTCACGCTTCTTAACCCAGAAAAAGCAAATCACAGGAATTAAAAGTCACCCCCAGCAAGAATTAGGGTTGGCAAAGAAATTCTCTTACCAAAAAAACCTCAGAACAATTTGATTATAGGTGGATGACATCACCTCCCTAAAAAGCAATCTTCACTATTTTATGATGCTTTTAACAAATTTTGAGGTTAGTTATGAAGGTGTACCAGTACCATTAACTTAATTAAAGCATCCTGAAAGCAGGTTTGAACAGCTTCTTAAAAGCACTAGACTCATTATTTTAAGCCATCTGATGAACACCACTGCACTAAACAGCTTTGTCAAAACAGGCTTTGATGTTCATGGAGTTATACTGATATGTGAAATCTAATATTTCTTTAACCAGCTTCAAACCATGAAATTGATACTAGTCACAGTTGCACTTAGATGCTGATCCAAAGCCAATTAGAAGAAAAGTGCACCCATTGCCAAGAAACTCCAATAATCCTTGGAAAAGACCTAAACATATAACATCACTCCACATAACAGAGTTGGACAGAAGACCACAAGTTCACAAAAGGATTATTACATATACTACTATTCCAATTCTATGCTTTGCAGAGTGTATCAAGGCAACAAAGAAAACTAGCTTCTTCAGCCCACACAGCTGATATGCTAACTGACAAGAGTAGTTATTCCAGTTGATGTCAATATACACTTTCCCCTCCATTGCCCACAAAGAAAAAAATATTGACAGCAAAATCTTAAGGTTAACTAGAACAAGTTCTATAGAGGACAGGACTTAAACTTGAGTCATTTTATGAGCCCAATGTTCAAAATTGCCAGTGTGGTGTAGTGGTTAGAGCACGGGACTGGGACTCAGGCGATCTGGGTTCGAGTCCCCGCTCGGCCATGGAGCCAACTGGGTGACTTTGGGCCAGTCACAGCCTCTCAGCCCAACCTACCTCACAGGGTTGTTGTTGTGGGGATAAGATGGAGGAGGAGAATGATGTAAGCTGCCTTGAGCCCTTTGAGGAAAAAGGCAGGATATAAATCGGAAAAAAAAAAAAAATTATCAGTCACTCTGTACCGATCACTCATGCAAAGAGCTATCAGAATATTACCTCTAGGGAATAACCACATTATGATTCTTTCCTTAATTATTTTTCAAAAAGGCACTTCTACATTTGTTATTTAATTCCCAATACTTCTATCATTAAAAATGCCATGCCCTCAAACAGCAGAATTAGGTGATGGACTAATCAGTTCAGAAATGCAATAGGAAAAAAAAAAGAAGCAGCCACCTGTAGATAGATGGGAAACTTCCTATGTATGCAGAAGAATAGAAAGTTGTGAAGTGATTTATGATGATCCCATAGCCTTGCAAGACTCTGTGAGTGTACTAATGGTGTATCCAATGCTGCTCATCTTCAGTAAAAGGGAAACAGTTGGCAGAACAAGTTTCTCTTTCCTCCTGTAGCTTCACTATCCATACCCCCCAAATCTCCTTTGGAGAGTGGAATCTTCCTGATTATGGTGATACACAAGATAGAAGATGAAAGAGGAGTTCTACCTGCACAAGTGAAAATCTGCTCATATGACATTGGGTCTGACTTAAAATGCTGACAGCAGCTGAATCCCAAGAAAAGAAACTAGAAGACAGGCATACAATGGAAATCTTTGAATATGTTAATAGTTAATCTATGGTTGAAAGCAGTTTAAGATATAGAAAAGGGGAAAATGGGGCTTGATGGAGAGAATCTACTCAATTTATAGTAATTGTTTTGGGAACACTCTAAAATTTGCAAGGAATGTGAGCTGTGAGGAAAAAAATGTTGTTCTGCATTGCTGTACAGAGATAATAGTTTTCAGGACTGCATTTTCTCTCCACCAGATATCACAACAGGACTATCAAGACTCCTGTTTTGAGCTTGCTGAATCCCTGAAGAAAAGCTTTTCGCACATAGGCTATGCAGAAAGAACTCAACATTGCATTATAGTCTCCACTTCATCCCATTAATAGGTATCTCAGATGGTCTATGACTATCACTCTGGAAGCAAAACAAGGCCACCCTACACTTGCGGAAAAGTTTGCAAGTTTATTAATTAGAAGAAAGAATAAGAGTCTCTCACTTAAATGCAGTGCAACAAGGACTGTGTTAAGCAGCTTTCAAGAGCCATGGGATATTAAGTTTCAGTTGGAAAAGAAAATTTAAGACTTAGGTGAAGGAAAGGGTGGGAACTAGTCTACTTCGGTCCGTAACAGTATCAGTTATCTAGCTAGAACTCTGAACAACTGAGAAGTAGCCATGCACTGTAACATTTTGTTGCTACCCCCAACAGCATCCTTTCCAATTCTGTAAACTAAAGAATTCCACTTGTAGCTCTTCACTAAAGATATCATCACCTGTGGCTAGAGGGATGGAGGAGAGGGATGCCACAGAAGTCTGTAAATAGAGAGGTCCTACAAATTAGAAATATTTATTCGATGCTAAAAGGTTATATGATCTTATCTTTAAAAAAAACTAGCATGTCAAAATAGTCAATAAAACAGCTTCTGCCAAACTGTACAGCTGAAATTCATCATATGCATTTTGGCCTGTTATCCAAATCAAATAAAAGCTTGTGTGTTATCAGTTATGCTAAATTACTCATTCTATAGTATCTCTGCAAATACATACAGGTATATAAATAATACTGACACCAATATAAAGCAATATGAAAGGAAAGAAAACAGGTTAGAACAAATCACACCGTATAATAGTGGGGACCAATTTAACTGAAACAGAGCAGTGGACATATAGTACATTTCTTCTCCCAAATTATTTTGTTTATTCTTGAAAACTATATTTAACAATCACTCAAATCCAGATGTTATCATATATAATGTAATTTCATTTTTTCATGTTTCAATTAATACAATCTTCAAAATTCAACTTAGCAGCTATGTAGACAGATTTTTAATATTCACTTGTGTACATGGACATGAGATGCAATCACTCCTTTCACGGCACGAAGCAATACGAAGTGTCATAGAAGGTAATGAACAATATAAAAGTTACCAGTTACATAAAATAAAGCACACAGGCATTGTAACAAGGTGTTTATGACCATAAAGTACATATACCTTAACATAAGCTGACAATCACAGAAACAGGATAACATGCAAACATTTCTATCCACTTACAATATTTATCCTGATAAATGTAAAAGTTTAAGTGCATTAATAAAATTGTAAACTATGACCAAAATGTAAAGAGGTGTTTAGGCTCCGATATGAGACTTACGCAATCTCAGCTGAATTTTTAATCTGGCTTGAACAGCTAACCGCCCTGTTGTTTCATTATGTGCCACTGAAATCCCCATTTCATGAGGTTGCTGCTTGAGAAAAGACAAGTCAAAGCTCCCTTGGGATCATATAATGTTCTGAACCACGCAGAGAGCTTTGGCTGTTGGGTGCTATAGAAATTAAACAATAATAACCAATTTCACAGAATCTACACATGCATGTTTTAATGTCTTTTAATAGATGTACAGTTATTTCCAGCAGTTTAAACAAGGGTGGTAAATCCACAACTTCTTAAAGCATTTTAGCTAAATCTGCAGGTATATTATTTGCTCGGTTGACTCTTGAATCTTTCAAATGTCCCACATAACTGTACATAGTCAATAACCAGCAGCCATTTATCTCAAATGAGAGCAAAGGATCTCTTACTTTCTTCTTTCATATGTATAAGTCCCTGGATGATTGCAGTAGATAGGCAAAGGTTTTTGATTCACTTATAAAAACCCAATAGCTGTATTTTAAGGTTTTCCAACCCCACAACAGTGCAAAAGGCCACCATTTTGCAGCCTTACTGTTTTCAACAGACTAACTCCTAGGTATGTGTGTACAGCAGGTTGGCCTTTTAACCCTAACCCTAACGCATCACTAAGGAGATCCACAAAATCCACTAAGGATATCTATAAAATCAATTTAAATTGTCGGATTTCTTAAGTCTAGATAATGAAATCACTTGTTGAAAATGAAACTTAACCCAGCCTTCCTTACCACTGGCCATACTGGCTGGGGCTGATAGGGATTATAGTGAAAAACTTTAGAGGTCTAGGATAGTCCTCACAACTAACAGTGGCTCTTCCTTGTTTCAGACAAGATTCTGTCCAACAAATATCTGGACCAAACAATACATTTTACCATTGACCTAGAATCTCATTCTTGTCAAGAATTGAGTAAGTACTTTAATCTTGGACCATTTGTTCTTAAGAAGAGATGCTAAAAAGCTATTCAACGTATTGACAGGGATCTGAATGTAGAAACTGCAGGCTATTTAGTAAGCAAAATAATGCCTTAGCAAGGTGAGTCAGTTGTGTTTAAATTCCCATTGAGTTCAACAATATTTAATGAGTAAAATTCTTGGGAATATCACAGCAAACGTAAAGCAAATCTCTACAAAGAATAGTTAGAAATCTGTATTATAACTCAGAATCAAGACTTCCTTCCCTAAAAAAGTGGACATTATTTCTTCTTGACTGTAATTCATGAATGAGATATGTCATGATTTATTTTATTTCTTTAAATATTGCATCTATATCCCACCTTTTTCTCTCCAAATCTAAAGTAGCTCACATGATACTCTACATTACCCATTTACCTTCACAACAAACCTGTATGGTAGGTAAGCCTGAGAGTCAGTGACTGTCCGAAGTCACTCACTGAGCTTCATGGCCATATGATTCAAGTCTCAGTTACACATTCTAACTACTACACTATGGTATCCCATTTTTCATTTTATAGCAACATACTCTTTAGGTAAATTACATGTTATCAAAGAAAATATACTTCATTACAGATTTTTAATCATCACAATTTTGAAAATAGTTTGCATATTTGTTGCTTTTTATTATGGTTACCTTGGCTTATAGACACCATATGAAGAAATTTACAAAGAAAGACATGACCATGACAATAATGTTCCTATAGAATATTCTTTATATATGTTTTCTAAAATATTTTGGCTAAAAGCAATGGAGGACCTCAATAAATACAAGGTGAATTTTGCAGTCAAATGCTACACTAGGATAGAGACTATTATAAAGAATAATTAGCTCTACAGACAAAAAGAACTGCGACAATGGTCAGTGCAAAGTAATTAAGGAGGCCGATAAAAGAAAAAAAAAAAAAAAAGAGCACTCTTCCAGAATATTCAAGGAAGCAAAGCGAAATTTAAACCTAGATTGAGAATGTTGAAAGACCAACAGGGGAACATACTATCTGATCGGGATAAAAGAAAGAGAAGGTAGAAACAATATAGACAATAATTATACATATAAAAGGTTGACAGAATCCTTCAAAGAAGAATCCTATGGAAAAAACCTGTAGAGCTGCAGTTCTACTGGGCCAAGCTGTGGCGACTGAACAGAAGTTGAATGAATTGAAATAATGCCAGAAAGAAGTGAAAGAAGAAAGTACAAACGCAGGACTGAACTGAATATTAAGAAAACAAAACTCATGAATACAGAAGAATTGCATAACAATGCAATTCAAGAATTCAACAATGGAAGAATTGCACAGCAATTTCATTGCTGTCAACAATGACAAAACTGGAATTCTGAAAAGTCATCAATTCAAATGGAGACTGAAGCCAAAAAATTCAAATCTGACTTAGACTTGGCACGATAACCATGAAGAAACCTGAGAAGATCATCAAGTGTAAGTATGTTTCACTGGAGACCAAGGCCATGATAATCTACATGATTGCATTCCTGATTACTGTGTATGGCTGTGAAAGCTGAACAGTGAAGATAGATGACAGGATGAAAATCGATTTGTTTGAAATACGTTGCTGGAGAGAGTTTGTGAACAGCCTGGACTGATAGAAAGATGCACAAGGTCCTAGATCAAATCATCTACAACTTTACCTGGAATCACAATTGATGAGAGTGAGAGGGTTGTAATTTGGCCACATCACTGTGCCCAAAGACTCACTGGGGAATACAATAATTCAAGACAAAATGAAAGGAAGAAGAGGAATACCAAATAGGAGGTACAGTGATTCCATAAAGGAAGCCACAGCTTTGACTTACAATTCTGACCAGGGCTGTGGAAGACAGGACATTTTGGAGGGTATACTTTCACAAGGTTGCCAATGTTGTTACCTTGACAACACATAGCAACAAGTATAATAAAAAGTAAAAGCAACTAAGTAATTCTGTGCCTTATTATTTAAACCAAAATATTTGATTCACAAGCAGAAAGAATGATACAAGAAAAGGTGAATAATTACACTTGGTATATATTAAGTATTTTATCATCATGAAAAAAGAGTTAGAGGAAAAAATGAGTTCGTATTTTTATTTTTCCATCAAGGGAATGACTCCATCTGAGGACAAAGGCAAGAGTTGATCTATATATTTAAGCAAAGGCCTGTGTAATCTCACTGCTTCTAGAAAATTAATGCATTGCGGATAGATTTGAAAGCTTCTCTGATAGTTTAACTTTCTATGTGCTAAAAGACCTTATTTATTAATCAACACATCCTTCTTCCATCATGGAACTCAAGGAGGTATACATGGGGTTCCTTGGTCTCTTATCCACTTTCAGTATTTTGGTTGTATTTTTAAATGCAGAACGATGAAAATGCAGCTATAGATATAAAACATGCTTAAATATCCAAGTTAATAGCAAATTTTAAGATCCTACCCAAGACACTGTGCACAGCCCTGGCAGTTAGTCATGAAAAATCTGCATGCTCTAGATTTCTATTTTATACTTAATTCAAAATGGGTATTCTGTTTCTAGGCCTCTATGTTTCTAACATTGCTCTGATTTTTGTTTTTGTTTTTTAACTATTTAATTTTTTTTAAAAAAATCTGTCACTATAAGTGGTATTTTTCAAGAATGCCTGAAGATTTTCCAAGTCTGATTACTGCTTGCAAGCTCAGCGTTCAGGAGAACAGGTAGTGACAACAAAGAAAATATTCAAATAGATATGTTCTTAGTTACTCAGTAAACTGATAGCCCATCAAATCCTTGTGGAAAAATCAGAATTTAGAGTCTAACTCCACAGTGGTTCCACTCCTACCTGACACACTAGCATCAGAATGAAACAACTGGTGCTAGATGCTTTCCTCCAAGCCATTAGAACTGAACTATTTTTCAGAATCTATATGCAACTTACTATATGCATCTTGCTCATCTGACATAAACATCAAAAAGCAGATGACACCAACCTCTATTTTTGCAGCTTCCTCTAGTGAGTGTCTGAACATTGTTGCACACTGGAGGACTAATATACTGAAGCTTAACTCAGAAAACCAAAAGTTCTGACCATCCCCTAGAGATTATGGTGCCAGTGACTTGCTTCCACTAAAGAGAAATCACATTCCCCCTATGGAAAATGTTTGCAGTCTGGGGATCCATTCTGACCCTGACTTATCGTCAAATGTTCAGATGGTTGTGACTAATTTTCTAATACCACTGGAGACCCATTTTCTGATCCCTTCAAGTGTAGTAACCTCTCATTTGGATTATATCAATGCATTCTAAAAGGGGCATAGTCTAGACACTGCGCCTAGCATAGAATTCCTTGGTTCACTCCATTTCAATAGGAATGAAGCACTCTTCCCCCTGAAATCTGGAAGAGAAGTTCTGTTCTGTCCTTCATTTTCTGCCTGGATTAAACTGTATCTTCTCCAATGTGTTATCCACATTATGGAATGTGTTCCCTGAAGAGTTCTGCTTGAACACCTTTCTAACTGAATTCTATAGATAAATGCAGTTTTAAAAATTTTGCAAGTGGATAAGTAGAGGAATGTATTAGGAGTTTTATTTGTATATGAATACCCTGCTAGTTTATTATTGTCAATGTTATACTGTGATGTTTGGATATTATTTTGCAGTTTACTTATTTAATGTTTTATGGTTTAACTTTGTGCATGTTTATAGCATGCTCACAGAGGATGAGACTAAGAAGACTGTTAGGTAAGTTACTAGGTTTGACTTATTCAATTCCATGATTGTAAAACAAATCAGAAGACAGAGAATGATCAATTATTATACTGCAACAAAAAGGGTCATAAGGAGTAACATAAGTAATGTTGGGGATTTAGACATCGAAATACAGAATACTTTACATTTTGCCCAGATTTCTTAATATTGCATCAATGACTGACTTGTGCACCTTCACAGAAAACATGCTGCTCAACACATCTGCAGAGGCTCCTCCTAAGTAACCCTGTTCTGTTAGTTTTGCAAGAACAGCATATAGTTAGAAACACAAATCAGTTGTTTCCAGAATCAAAGGAAAAGACTGACATGACTTCATTAGGCCATGTTATGGGAAGCGCCAGTTTCTTTTATTTACTTACTTTGGAGCTGAAGGACCTCTTGGCCATGTTCCATCTTCATTTTTTTGTTCTATGACTAATACCTATGTGGCAGAAAATAAGGCAAAAAACAACTTAAAACAGCTGAGTACAGTTGAAGACTGTATTAATTGGATATTAAAGAAACTACAAAACGTTAACTTCTTTTATGGCAATAGTGCATCTCTCAAAATTTTTATTCAGATTGCAACCTATCCACACCAAAATGAAAACTTGCTTTTGGTTTAAACACTCTAGAATTTTGATAGTAATTATTGTGAAAACACACAAAGTAATTTTGAGTTAATGAAAGTTTTAATGTATTAATGTATTTTTATGCTTTATATTTTTGTTTTTATTCCTACTTCCAAAAAAATCTGTGTCACAGGTGTGTATAAAGCATTGAATTGAATGCTCATATAAAAGAAATATACAGAAGGAACAACAGGCTGGGCCAGGGAGGTGATAAATGCCTTGTGAGGAGGAGTGGTCCCATGCTGCCTTAAAAGAGACAGTGGTGTTCCCACTTCTGAAGAAATCTTCCCTTGCCCTGAAGACCTTAATAATTTTAGATAGTGGCTAATATGCCTTTCCTGGACAAGACTCTTGAAAGGATGGTTGCCAATCAACTCCAGGCAGTCTTGGATAGGTGATTCTTTTCAGCTGGGGTTCAGGCCTGGTTTTGGCATGGAAACAACCTCAGTCACCCTGTATGACCACCTATGCTGGGAGAGAAGGGAAATGTGACTGTGGTGATACTCTGGACATCTCACCAACTTCCAATGCCATTGACCATGGTATCCTTCTAGGGAGCTGCTCTGATATGGACAGTCAACTCCAAAAGGTGGCATCTGGAGGATATTCCTCTGCCCCTTGAACTTTGCAAGTAAGGCATTTTAAGGGGTCGATATTCTTCCCCATAGTATTTATCATTCACCTCAGTTGAGTCACCTGGAGCTTTGGAGTAGATTTCCATCAGTATGCTTATGACACACATACTGTGCCTATTCCTCTATTCCTCCTCTTCATTTTCAGCAGGTGCAACAATGGACTGGATAAGGGGTAACAAACTAAGGCTCAATCTACACAATCCTGATATGCTGTTAGTAGATAGTTCTTCTGACCGGATAGAAGGAACTGAGCCTGATTTAGATGGGGCTGCACTCGCCTTTAAAGGGGCGGATTTGTACTGGGGGTGCTTCTTGATCCATCTTTGTCACTTGATGCCCGGGTGACTTAGGTGACACAGAGTGCCTTCTGTCAGCTTGGACTGGTGCCCCAGCTATTCCCCTATCTGGTCAGAGATAGCCTGGTTTCATTAATCTACACTCTGTTAATTTGTATGTTAGGCTTTGCTTGATGACTGTTTAGAAACTGCAGCTTCTGCAAAATGCAGCAGCCAGATTAATAACAAGGACCAGAAGTTCTGAATGCCTAACAACAATACTGGTCCACCTGCATTCGCTGCCTATATGGTTCTGACCCCTATTCAAGGTGCTGGTCTTAACTTATAAAGGCCAGTGTAGTATAGTGAGATCCAGGCTGTAGTCCCTGCTCTGGGCACTGATTCTTAGCTTAACCTACTTCAGTGTTGTTGATAATATTGATAGTAGGAGGAAGATCATGTAAGCCACCTTGCATTCCATAGAGGAAAAGAGAAGGATATATTTAATAATTATATAGAAGAAATACATGGGTTAGGACCATAATACCTGGCAGAATGCCTCTCCCAACTGCAATCTACCTGGACACTACCATCAAGATCTGGTGCCTGCTTCCATTTCCAAACTCCAAAGGAGGCTTGATTGGCAGCAACAAGCAGAAGGGCTTTTCAGTCCTGGACCTCCAATGATGGAACAAGCTCCCCACTGAGCCCACCTGATGTTAGCTTTAATCTCTCTTTTGTACAAGGTTAAGAATGACCTCTACCACAAGTTATTAATTATACTGGCCCTTTACATTTTTGTGTTTATTGCTGTCCGTGTTTTATTTTATATTATATTATAATATATTCTAACATAATATATATTATATATATTATTTTATATTATATTATATTTTATATTATATTCATGATAGCCTTTAGCCACCAAATAAAATGAAATAAATTTATACCAAACAATTAGTTAACATTATTTACAAATTCTTTCAAGTTTCTATTTGGAAAGATACCAGAAGAGGCTGTCCTTTCTATTCTACTTTTTGCCCTATATGCAGAACCCTTATCAACAAGAGTGGGAGTCTGGTTTCAGGCTTATTGATAGGCTATTGTTGGCATTCATGTTACTGTAGGATGGCCACCCTAGCAGATCAGCATTGCTGAAAGGAAATGCTGGACAACTGCTTAGGCCCTCAATTCTGCAAGTCTACAGGGGTCTCACTTTCAACCGTGGATACTCTTGGCTTTGTTCCTCTTCTTCTTGTCATTTCACATTTATCTGCCTTCTCTGAACATGCAGTGACCAGAGGGAAGAGACAAAGCAGCCCTTATTTCTTACCTCATGTGTACTTCCTCTACACAACCAATTTGGTGCAAAGGCAAGAAGAATTGGCAGCAGGAACAAAAGTGAGTAGCAAGACCCACTTAGGAAAGGAGCCCATCTTGCCCAAGGTCCCTCTAAAACCTGGTGTGGGAACTGCACCATAGCAATGTGACTCAAGTTTCCACATTGTTCTGGAAGGCTGTTTGAGCAAGAGGCTCCACCACGATGTGTTCAACCACCTACCACATAACTAGCTCTTCTGTATTTTTGCCTCTTCATAATTATCACTTGGAGGAAATTTAAATAGTACTTTCATATTCTTCTGTGGGTTAAGAAAATGAACATACCACAGTAGACTGAGAGAAATTTTATTGTGAAACCCCTATTCTTGCTTTGGAGATTGTTAGGTCAAAAACATTTCCTGTATTGTAAGCAATATTGTTACAGCTAAAGGGCATTTCAGTAACACTTCCATTTGGAAAAAATGAAGTATTATTAGTATTGATTTTACGTCACAGATCAAAATGCTTTCACATAAACTGAAAAATCTGCAAGTAGATAAAACTGGAATTCCTCCTCAGCATATAAAGATTGGGATATTTGAGTCAATAAATATTAAACAGATCACTGACTGTTTTCGTTTGTGAAACCATACAAGTTTTCTTCTTACAGATGCTTTAGAACACTAGAGCATCTTGGGGATGGAGGGAGATCAAACTGAGTTAAAACATGAAGGCAGAGTTTGTACACTTTAAGAATAAATGGCAGTACATATGTATTTATTTGTACCATTTAATCTGAAAGAAAAATCACTTGTAGAATTTTATACCAGATGGGAGCACAACTAAAATGCCCTTAAATAGGCTATGTTCTTGAACAGAGACAAACGTCAAATACTGTTTGAATTGTTTACAACTTGATTTGTCCAGGAGAAGTGCAAAATGTCATATTAAGCACAGAATCTGACTTCTTGAAGAGTTCAGATTTCATTCTGGGAAAACATTTTGGGCAATGAGCATTAGAGACTGAGACAGCTATCTAAGAAAGATTAAAGATGTCAGGAACAGAATTTCAATGTACTATATAGCTTTACTGTCCAACAAATCATAGAAATTTACTTAATTTGCACACTGCAGATTAAATTCCATTATAATGTTGCAAAATTAAATGTTTTAGTCCAAACTACAATTTTAAGAAGTAAATTATTAATCAAGACTAAAATTTGTAGTCCAGGAAGCAAAATGATGCCATATTCCTGTTCCATATACATTATTCCCTTCTTGTCTCCAGTTTTATTTTTAATTAAACCTTTTATAAAAAACACTTGCATGTTCAAGGCAGTATACAAATTTAACAACAGTAACACGGAACAAATCAGGAATCCCCATGTCATGGAATAAGTAAGACAATTATATTACAAATTTCTTTCAGACATCAAAATGGGTTTAAAACTCTGCATTAAAAGTCTTATTGTGCCAATCTTTGTTGGAGTTGCTTTAATATAACTCTAAAGGTTTCTTCTTACACCTCAATCTGCACCTCTGCAAGAATTCAGCATCTGATTCAATGGTTTCTTCCAACATTGTTTCTGACTAAGCAAAATTCTATCTAGCAACAGCAATAAAACAACAACATGACTAGTTTCATTCCCTTGGGTCTAGACGCCAGGCATAACCCTTCATTCCTTTCTTGCCTAGCCTTATTCAGCATCTTCTAGATCACAGAATATTTTATGCTTACTTATCTACAAGCCCAATGCATGATGATAGTCCAAATGTTATGCTTATCTACAAGGACAAAGTGTATTCACCAGTAAAAAAAAATCAAGTTTAACTCATGTCAGCATAAGATAATTTTAAAACATAAAATCTACTTATTGCTGTTATTTGGCAGCTCTGTACTTTACTTAACAGTGTTTTTGCATCATGGAATAAGCAATTCCTTCCACATTCCTCAAACAAGGCACTCAAACCAATACATAGACTTAAAGGTCTTGTATATGCCCAGGGGAATGGTTTATTAATCACAAATTAATTTTAAACTATGAAAAGCTTGTCAAAAAGCTGTGTTTGAACTAGAACACAATGAACTATTCTCTGAATTATGGTATATACATTTTCTAAACTTTATTTAATTGTGTTCCACCAATGACATACAAAGTTCCACCTGTGGGTTTGAGAGAATGCAATTTGCTCTGCATCTTTAAAAAAAACCTAGCTTAAATCAAACATTATCTTTTGGAATGTACAATTCTTGAATTATTTGTTATATTTATATGCTGCGCTATATCCCAGGTGCTCTCTGGGCAACTTATATTAGTATATAATACTAATGTGCAAACAGGTGCAAACAGAAATGAATGTGAACAAAACTGAGGAAATTGGGTGGAATAGTTTTATAACTAAATACATGCAAAACTGAAACAAATCTGAAATAGATTGACCACCACTAACATATTGGAACAGGTTATATAAGATCTCCAAAAGATTAGGCCCATATGTATATTAGTTCATACCTGTCCTTGATACAATCCAGCATCCTGTATGGTACTATCTGGTTTATTCAATGGTTCAAATGTGTTACTCATGTATTTATTCCACAACCTGGTCTCTTTATCATCTGGAATATTGAAGATTTTCCTTATCTCTTTTTCAATTGTATCTATAGAGACAGAAATAAAACTCTTTGGTATCTCATATTACAGCAATTAACAACGATGCCTATGTATGCCTACCCCCAAACTAGTTTATTAATGGCTAATATAAATATCATTCTCTAATTCTACTCTTTACATTTTGATGAAATAGACTGTAGCCCACAAAATCTTATGACTTTTTCAGTATTAAAGTTGACAAAGGAGTATTTATTCTGTATGCAGCAGCAACTAATGTATATGCTTACTGAACTACAAAAGTTGTAAAACTACATGCTAAAATTGGCTGCACTGTCTCATATAGAGAGTGCAACTGGCAAGCTACCCCAATTAACAAGAGAAAAACATAACAATTTATGGTAATAATAGCATGATTGGAAGAAAATAACTGTGAACTGATTTGTACAACACAATAAGCAATGGTGGGTTATTGTGTAATCTTCTCAGCATGGTTTCTGCAGGGCAGCTTATCCTTCCATGAACAAACCATCCTGAGAACCCATGGCTTGTCTGACACATGAATTGTTGTGCTGTCCAAATGCAGCAGATTGATTTTATTGTGGGTTGTTCAGAACAGCTAAAAAGACATTTCATAGGAGTGGCAAACTCCCCTTCAGCTCAGTTTCATGTTTTTACTAGTGACAACGCTTCCACTGATACCAAAATGGCACTTTGGAAAAGCCACCACTCATTCCTTGGCTTTTAACATTTTATTTTCCAGAGTCTTAAAACAGTTTACTTAGGATTGGGGCGGAGGGGGAGTGGTCTCCAAAATCTCTGTATTGACAAAACTAGTCCTTGGTCCTTTATAGGTGTGCATGTGTGAACTTACGGCTATCAATACTAAGCAAGACTCCATATACAGTAGTTTACACAGAACTGCCAGGAACCAACTGCATGGATGTCAACGGAAAACCAGTGGTGATGGACAAAAATGGGGAGAAAGAAGGTGCACCAGAAGGAGATGGGTGCAGTATCACTCAGTAATGTAATCATCCGTTTTTCCTGCTCTTAACCCATTCACCCTGTTTTCCTGTTCAGACCACTTTTGTGCATTTACTGCAGTTTCCAGAAAGTTCTAAAGCTATGCAATTTTTTGGGCTGAGAACAAATATAATGCTGGGAAATAAACAGAGGTGGAGCACATTGAGAACTGTTAGTCTGATACTTAAAAGCCAAGGGATGCTAAGTGGATGTATTTGGTGCGCCTTCTTTCCCCTCTTTTCACTGGCTTTTTTTGTAGACATCTAGAAAAATCACAGCTGACACTGTGCACAAATCAGCCTAAATGAAGTTCCACATTGTCTTCCCCTTTGACAGCTGAAACAGGGAAGGCAATTGACCAGGCAAGTCTACAGATGCAAGATAACTTAGATGCAAACCTATGCACATGCAAAGGATTGACCTCCCCTTATGTAATTTTTGGCAACCGGGGTTGGGGGGGGGGGATATCCTATCTATGCCTTTTGAGTTTTTTGGGAAAAGATAGGTAATGAACAAAAACCAGTAGCAATTGGAACAGGGAGGGAGAGAAAAGGAGGGGAAGGAAGGGGAAACAACCCATGGTCAGTCCAATCATCTGTTGGGTGAGCTGTGGTTTACTGTGCAACCAGCCAGTTGCTTTGTTTGTTTAAAAGCAACTCTTGTGTGCAGAAGAAGTCAGAAACCCAACCCAGGTTTTGCACTGGTCCATTTAGCACGTGGCTAGTTTTTTTGAAACTATGATTCTTGGTTCAGGATATGTAACTATAAGCCAAGAATTAGCTTAAATGAAACTAATCATGGAAGCCAATGGGTTTGATTGGACTTGCAAAAGTCTTGTCTGGTTTGCATGATTAAACAGTCCACTATAGTTTATTAAACCCACAGTGAGTAATGGTGACTCCTGATGGCAATTAAATATTCAAACAGTAACTGTGGTCAGTCATGTTATCCAAAGCCCAAGCAGGCCATGGGTTCTGAGAGGACTGTTTAACCCTTTTCCAAATCCTGGAACTGAAAGTTATTCAATGCAAGCCACGCTTTGAAGATTCAGGATGGTACCAGCTGGTCACTGCAGTTTGTCATGTCTTAAATAACAAAAGCGATTGTGCAAACCTGGACAATGGATTGAGTAAGTGACCGTATGCATTATGAAAGAGCAATTAGCTTCAGTAGCCTGATATGTTCTTGTCTACATTGTCTACATTATATAATTTGAAGTTTGCCTCTCACTATTCCACCCAAAACTACATGGTTGGGGGAATTTTAAACAGGGATTTTTGCACAGAAATACAGTGATGAATATTATAAAGGTGTCATAAAGCATTACAAAAGACATATATTGAATATGAAATGCATAAACTACACAATGGGCATACCTATTGTGTCAGCTTTACTAAATCTCCGTGTTACTACATTGTTCATATTTCCATTTTCACACAATTTTAATTCTGTCAAGTATACTTCTACTTTGCAGTGCTTGACAAACATACCCTGTTCAACTACCTGGAAAATAAACAGATCAAAATAAGCCATTTTAGGAGTGATTATTAATCTTGTATTCATATAAAATATAAAATCTTCAATTAGTCAGTTAACTTTTATAGTTTTATGATTTATGTAATTAAGAATTTTTACAATAGGTTTAAAGGCCATGGAAGCTTGATTCATGTTTTTCCATTTTTTCTCAAGTTTAAAAACATGTTTAGAATTATCTAAACACCCACTACATTAAAAACAAATGTTACTAGCAATCCAAATAATATAAAATCCAATGAAAAATAAACAGTATACACCTACCAAAAATGCCATATTGGTTAACTGAATTTTCTGGTAATAGATATATTAATGTAGAAAAATAATTAATTTGTGCTTTGTCATAAATTACTAAAAACTAATAAAACTTGCAAATTAAAGAAAGCAGAATATTCACAATCACCTCTTATATATTTCCATCTGATCTTCTATGCTGTAACTGCATAAGTCAGCCATGTAGACTGTCCTGAAAATAGCCATCGGCCTGATATGTGATACATCAGACAAATATGGTAAAGAAGGAGGTACCAATTAACTCCTAGAAGTCATATGCTACAGCAAAAGAGTTAACGAACACTCACTAAAGGGGAAGGACATATTAATAAACATTTTCTAGATATTTAAAAGCCTGCCTTGGACTTGAGCAGGGAAACTTCTATATATAAAAAAACGGGTATATACAAGAATATCTGTATGCATGTCTATAGCTGTATGCACTTCTGCTTTAAGTATAGCAGAGTTAAAGAGCAATACTATCTGTAGTATTATACAACTGAGTTACTGCTGTTGCTAAGGTTACATTCAGGGCTGTGTGTATGCCAGGATTCCAAAGAAGCAGAAAATCTGTGAAATGAGCTTGTCTTCTAACACTGGTATCCTACAAATCTCAGCTTTCATTTATTAAGAAGAAATAAGCAAATTTCCATTTTTACTCATTTATTTTAGAATTTCAAGGGCAGTTTATAAAATAATGATGATTTTAAAGTAAAAACAATTAAAGCAGACATTGTGATTGTGGAACTCCGCATGCAAGAGTGTGGGAAATACATGGTGATGTTTCAGAAGACAGATTTGATTAATAGGCTTGTATTTATTGACACTGGACTGACTGTATAGCTTCAGTAGTCTGTAGAGTTCTTTCATTCTGGAAGGTAGTACATGTTGGATAATTCCCTTGCTAAAAGTCATGTCAAGTTGCTTAATTTACATTGTTATACATATTGCAGTACATAAATGTTGTCACAATTTGGATTACTTTTGTACAAACACTGGATTTATTTTTGGTGCAGATACACACAGCCTTGATTACCATCATTTAAGGAAATTAAAGGGGTACTAAAATAAAGTATCTTAGACTTCATTATCTATGTAAGACTCCAGGCAGCGTCCTATTCAACATTAGTGCTAGCACAATTTATACTGCACTAGTACAAGCACTCCAACACAGGGTAGCTTATGCTAGTGCAATATAATTTGCATTAGTACCCCTGTCAAATAGGATACTGCCCTCTCTATTAACTGATACATTTTCACAGTACTAACTTTAAATTTTCAATTGCTTTGCAACAAAAGAAATGATCTTAAGAATTCAGATTTGTGCATGAGTTCTGAATCAAAGCTTCCCTACCAATTTTAAGAGAAAATATTGAGAATGGTTCATGTTTTCTGACCAATCAGCACATCATGCAGTGAAAAAAGAGAAAAAGATAACATTAGCACGCAGCAAGAAATGCTAAGAATTTCTTAACTGTACTTACATAAAGGCACATATGGCACAAATATTATAAAGTTCTACAAATACACAAAGGTACAAATACTACAGCCACTAGTATAGTCAATGGAAAATATTGCAGAGACCCTTATGTTAGTGTACAAGGTAAATTTCTGAAAGCATTATCACCTCCTGAATGCAACTACTGCTTGATAAGCAGAGTTCCTGCTCTCCCTTAAACAGCAACTGGTTCTTCCAAGGTTTCATTTCAGACAGACACAGCCACATGCTTAGACCTTAACACAAAGCTCTGTATAAAAGTTTGTGTTCTGAAGCTTATGCAGCAGGGTACTTTTGCCCAAAACATGGAGCTGTGTGTTATAAATATGGAACAAAGAACAAAGATCCTCTGGAATGCAATCCTGGGCTGTACAGATCTGCATTACAGAAGCTGTAGGCAGGACTGGCTCAACCGGAGTTTTTTATCTGAAGAAAGTTCCGAGCGGATCTAAGACAGCCTCATGCCTATCAATTAGACTGCACAGTACTGCTGTATCCTTCCTTCCTTCCATTTTATAGTTGATCTATACAAAAGAAAATTCTATTGACTTCAGCAGAACTTTCTTCTAAGTAAACATGGACAGACTGGGCTGCAAGCCTGAATGGGAACAAGCCCCACATATGGCTTCCAAAATATAGCGCTGCATAGGAAAGCGAGTAGTCACCCTGAGTGCAGGCACCATGGCCAATGCTTGTTTTGTTATCTTCCTGAAAGCTTTCTAGGAAAGGGAGGGAAGAGAAAAATTGCAACAAAGGAGTGGACAAAACTGAGGGCATGCAAGGAAATTCTGTGCCAAGGAAGGATATCAAGCAAACATAAACGAATGTAGATGACACTCCCCAGACAAACACTCTTTGTTTATAGGGCTGGTTTACCTATGCTATGCTATTCCTACATTATTTTTTGACATCATCATGAATTATCAATCTTGTAATTCATGCACAGTTTTACAACAAAAATGTGAAATATGCATTTTCACTGTCATCAATGCAACTGGGCATCTCTGAAAACCCAGGAGATAAACACTGGTTTATCTTAGTCAGTAGTGGGCAGGCTAATTTCTATGACTTTGCTTAGTACATTTTTTGTGCCTTGACTTCCTTAGCTTCTGTAGAATGGCTTCCAGATGTTGAAATCTAGCTTCAACTTAACAGTTAATGTTTCTTAGTCTTTGAGGCTGACTTTGCACAAAGTGATGTCTCAAGATTTTTGGGGGGCGGGGGTGATATAAACCAAAATCACTATTTGTCCCAGCTGTGAAAATAGAACTTTTGATGTATTGGATCTAGGAATCCTTCACTGGATAAAACTATAGCCAAATCATCTTCCTACAACTACTGATTTAGACATAAAAGGTATTGGGGTAGAGGGTAGACCATTATGTTGAAAATACTAAAATCAGGCTTTCAGCAAGATAGTTTTTTTCCAGAAAACAGAAGAACAGTATATTTTTGTTTAATAGTTTAGGCACAGTAAAGTGGTAAGATTTAAAAATGAAATCCACAAATAAATTCTTAGAATACAATAAATCTAAATCTAATAAAAATATGGTTTCACCACATCAGCAAGAACAGTATAAAAGATTTTAACTGGACAAAGATAATATTTCTCAGACATCAAAACAAACTTTTTGTAAAGTATGGTTTTTAGATAGAATAAGAAATTAACCAAAGTGAATTGTTGAACTAGTTTATGTTAAATATGGTTTGGCACTATGTTTAAATGAAGAGATCATAACTACAGCTATAATCCCATTGGCAGAGCTACTGAGTCAGACTTTTGACGCTGACTGTTGTGATGTCAGAAAACAAAAAGCAGAAAAGGAACTATAAATCAGTGGGTCTGTATGATATGCACTTGGAAGCTTCAACTGCGGGTTGGTGTGATGTCTGAACTGATCATATGCCCTCTACAAAAAATTGAAAAAGGACAGGAACATGATACTTAGATAAGACTATGTCATAGTGTTAGTGTTTATCTGTAATAACAACACATTGGTTTTAAGTACTCTCTCTGCATGTGTCTCCTAAGCAACCAATGCCTAGGAAGAGGAAGCTCAATTACATTACATAGGGAGTTTCCACAATGAACATGTTCTACAATGGGAGTTTTCTTGTGAATTTATAGTATGGAAGTGCATGTGACACAGAAGTACATATGACACAGAAGAAAATGGAAAAGGAATACAGGAAAGGGAAAGGTATGTCTAAGTGTGCCCCAATCTAATAATACTCATTTAATAAAATGAACCACTTCAGTACACTGTGCATTCTTGCTATAATCTTAAGATGCAACTGCAGTTACGGCAGTGATCAGAAGAAATTTAAGCAATGAAATACAAATTAAGCATCCATGAGTAATAGTAATCACTAAAGCTTCAAATAATATTTATCTGATGTGATATTACCTATGATTAACTGCACATGGGTCAAAACTCTGGTTTGGACATAATGCCAAATACTGCAGTAAAAAACCCAGGAATTGCTGTAGCTGTGGTAAAGTGAGTAAAACTTCTATCTGTTTGTCACTTCCACTTTGAAGCAGCTTCAACCCATTCCTGTACTGCTCTCTCATGTTACGAACACTCTGGTACTCTGGATTTTCACGTTTTTAACCAAACAACAAACATAAGGTAGCCATTATTTCATGATTAGCTGATCTACAAATAACCTGCATTAGATAGGTAAAATAATGGAGAATATTGTTCCAGAAGTATTTGTTTCATTATGCTTTGCTCATATACTAAACCGCCCCAAGGCATTAATATTTAATAACAAAATTTAATGCGAGAACGTGTTACTAGCATTAATATGCTAGTGTTTGTTCATGTGCAAAATCTTATATGGACACATAAAATGTTCCTTCTCTTTTAACTGGGCTTATTGAATAAATAACTTTTTCAGGTATATCTTATATATTTCATTTTTTAATATAAAAAGTATCTTACCTTGCGTGCAATTGGTTCTTGAACTTCTGTAAGAGTATACCAGCTAACTAATTTGTTCCATCCTTCTGTTGGTAAAAGTATATAGTCCAGCTCATCAATGAGATGCTCCTTAAGAGACTGACAATCCCCATCTAGGAGAAAATGTTTTGCCGTTTAGATAAGATGCCTCAGCTTTACAACATTTGATCATATCTGAGCACATTAGAACTGAACAGATGATGAGTGATCAAATTTGAAACAAATGAAAAATCTTTATTCACTAGCATATACAGTGGTAGAAGTTAACAGAGTAATTTATGACAAGGGATTCCCAGCAATTGATTACCCCATGACATACAGTGAACCATAGTATGAAGACCCCAAAAGAAAGCTTTGTATCCCAGATGCTAAAATTTCAACCATAACCATTACTGTATTTTATACGTGCGTGTGCGCACACACAGCGAGCGAGCGAGAGAACACTTTCTTTATCTTAAAGTAATTGTTGAATGATTACAGTTATGCATTAAGAGTTTTCAAAATATGAAAAAATGTCATCACAAAAATCAAAACAAAATTCATCTTGTAAGTTTAGGATACATTTTTCCTTTTGGTGGCAGAAACACTCTTCAAGAAAGACTTGGAAACTACCTTCACCTTAAAAGTACAACAGCTTCACTTTTTAAAAAAATCTATTCTCACAGGTTTCCAGTCAATATTTACATTTCAAAAATTGGAACAGTATAGATGTATACATTCTGGAAACTGTTGCAGTTCCCACACTGTGCTTATCAATGAGCAATATTTAAAGTACTGACCCACATCAGTATTCTGTTTTTTCCATAAAGTAGCAATAGATTACCTTTGAGAAGTCCAGAATTGTCAATAGGACCAGGATAAACATTCTGATCTCCCATTTGATATTTGTCCCAGCTGTCAAATCCAACATACTTTTTCCACTGTTTGAACCAGCGACTATCTATTAAATACCTTTGAAAGAAGAAATACAAGAAACATATGAAACACATTTTGAAATCTCAAAAATGCAGGATATGACACAATTGGATTGATTATTAATATTGGAAGGGTGTGGCAGATAGGGAAAAAAACAGCTGAAACTTGTCCTTTCTCTGTTCCACTGACAGAATTCTTCCATTAGTGGAGAGAAACCAGCCGAATTCTATATTTCCATAAGTGTTACAGCAGAATTTTGCTTGGACAGAATTTTGCCTGGCTGCTCTTAGCGTATGTGACAGTTATCTTTTAAAATTTTCATTCTGAGAGGTCTAAACCTTGCATACCTTTATTGTTTCCATGCACTGCATAAAACATTCATCTTGTCTTATCAAACCTTAAATTGACCTGGTCGACTTGTGTCTGACAATTCCCATCATCTCTCATCATTAGTTATACTGGCTAGGCCTAACAGGAGGTACAGGCTAAAACATCTGAAGGATGCTTTGACCTGTTCTAAATTGTATTTGATTACCAAAATACTTCCTCCTTTAAACACCTCTAACTTTATAGATTAAGCAGACAACTAATGGAGAGAAGGCATTTTCTCAGATGGTACCCTGGATATAGAATTGTCTCTTGAGACAGATGTGCCTGGTGGCATCACTACTATCAAACACTATTCACTCATTCATTAGTACTGTGAGTTTGCTCCTGTTCTAATGAATTAATATTTGGCTCCTGTTTGAGAAACACGAAATGAATGGAATTTGGTAACCTAACATGAACAGGATTTTTGTTGAATGAATACACCTACAGAGCAGATTCCAATAAGATCATCATCTGTGCTTTAACAAACACATTGAAGAAAACGTGCATCAAACTGTTCAGACATTACATTTACAAATGTCTTTACCTTTCTAGTGAACAGATAAACCTTTAAAAACATAAACAACTTAAGAAACAACCTGGCATTTGTACATCATCACTCAAATTAACACTGATTTTTTTTGATACTCATTTGTCTTTAAATAAATCAATCCAAGGAATTCTTTCTATAGAATTTATTCAAAAAACCTCAGATTGAGAAACCTATTTATATTGATTTTTTTAAAAGGGCATCTCACATACACAGATGAATCAAAACTACTAACAGCTATTACACCAATTTTTGGATTTAATTTCCCCCAAACCTTATGGGGGACGCACAACAGCAGCAAGCAGTCATAACCTTTGTCTAACCGGGCATTCAAAACATCAACATATACTAGGAGAACAGGAGACATGTGTCTCTGTTGATCTTAACAGGAACCTTCCAAAATTTTTTGCTAACACTCAACTTACTATGTTGCATCTTGGTAAGGCTGTACAGTTTGGGAATCAGGGCACTCTTTCACCATAGTTCCACTCCTACCTGGATGACAGATTCCAGAAAATACTGCTAGTGTTTTACTTTCTAATGCTTATGGTATGGGTCCCCACAGAGTCTGGTCTTGTCCCTGTGTTTTTTAAACTTAGTCAGTAAAAGAAATAGGAGAGTAATTAAAATACACTCCCTTGCTTTCTGCAGCTGGTCAGCACTTTTCTCAGTGCTGAATGGAAACCTGGGGGGAAAGCAAACCCAAAACAATACCAGAAACTGAACTTAGCCTATAGAGAAAATATGACCGGGCAGATTAATCCCTTTTCAATGTAATTTCATGTTGCTAATTCAAAGGAATTACAATGGCAGTTTTCTTGGTGCAGCTGTGTTCCTTTCTTTAGCTAAAATGCCACTGCTTCTTCTGTCATCGTCATTCCTAAGTTGACCAGAAGCAGAAGCAATTGGGGAAGGGGCGCAATGAGCACCCTGTGGCCAGAGACCCTGGCTGTCCCACAGGAGGGTCACATGGTGCTCATTATATTTTTGTTGCTTCAGTGTCAGATGATGACCTTTAATTTTGACCTGGTTTAATGCTGCTCTTCCGAAGTTTTATTTTAATTTTTTGTTACTGTGATTTTATTATGTACTTTAACTGCAAGGTGCCCTGATAAATTTCATTGAAAGTCATGGCACAAATCTATTACTAAAATAAAATCATAACTATTGTGCAGTTGTCCTTGTTGTTACTCATATGGCAGTCACACATTTTTGAAGAAACAAAAGATTCTACAAAGCATAAATAATATATGAATGCAGCATACATTTATACACAATAGGAATACACAACTTCTGCTCCCAATGCCACATAAACACAGCTGAAAAATGATACTATATGCATTACAAAATGGATGATTTTCTGTCCCACAAAAAGGTAAAACACATCTCAAAACTATGAAACATGTCAAACAATTGTGATACTAGAACTCAATGAAATGTATTGCTTTATCATATAGAATGGGAGAAAAAAACCCAAAACAACCTAGTATGGCAAGATCAAATAATATATATTTTGTTCCCAATGACCAACAAGCTTCTTGATAATGCAGTCATTCTAAACTTTACCACATAGGTGTCTAAACACAGTATAACTGTTGATGTCATAGTAGCTGAGACAGTCATATACTCTCACAGGCAAAAAAGCCCCAAGTTATCTTAAGCTGGTATGATGGGATCCCCTTCTATATTCCTGCAATTGAACCTATCATGCCTATTTTGAATAGTTTGAGCAACATCAAAAGTGGCCAGAGGACCTGACAGTTGCCTAACACTTGAGCTTTGATTACCATTAATTCAAGTGCTATAAACATAAAGCTATTTCACAATATTTTTCATTAACATCATTTTTATCAGCATGACAGAACATGAAATTTTATACTGAAAGGCTGCCTTTAAAATTGTTGTTCTTTGAAATAAAACATATAAAAATATTTTTTTCAAATAAAACTGTAATCAGTCAAACTAACATAATTGTATCACACACACACACTGAGAGAGAGAGAGAGAGAGAGAGAGAGAGAGAGAGAAAGAGAGAGAGAGAGAGAGAGAGAGAGAGAGAGAGAGAGAGAGAGAGAGAGAGAGAGAGAGAGATTATTCTTAGTCAACTTTAACTCTATCCTAGCAATATAATTTAATTGTAGTTCTTAAGCATCCATTGCTGACCATCCTGATGAGTAGAATAGAACAGATTTAACACAGGCTTCTCAGAATACAGAAGGGGAAACCCAATGCATGTTTAGACAAAAATAACTCCTAAAACTTCTCTTAATGCCCAGCCATACTTACCTTAAAACTGTCTAAACATTTTTCAAAATTTTAATGTGTATTCAATACCATCCATATATGCTGGGAGAAAATGGCAATTCAGATGTTAGCAGTGCTTTTTTTTTTAAAAAAAAAAAAAAAAAAAAGGTGCTGGAACTCACATCCCGGATGGCAGTAAGCACACACACCAATCCCAAGCCTAGCAGCAGAGCAGCGCCCGGAGCAGCTCTCTCTCACTATCAGATAGCAGATCGCAGACACAATAGCAGCCTGCATGCACTATGTTAATGAAGTTTGCTGCTGATCTGCTATGCCAAAATCACTTCGTAAAATTCATTGAAAAAAAGGTGCCAGAACGCCGTTCCGGTGCGTTCTATGACAAAAAAAGCCCTGGATGTTAGCACCCTAATCTGCTTAACCATATTTAGAAGATGGGGCTGTACCCCACCAGCAGATCAAATTTGCAATATAAACTGCAAAATACACTGCAGAATTCTTGGGAGTTTCCTATCCCAACCATAGGCTCCTGACCTCCAATATGGGAAAATAAGGCATTCCATTGGCATGTTTAAAATTCCACTTAATTTTGGGAACAGGAAAAAGGGGGAAAGGAGACAGAAGGTTTGCCTAAGTCCCCTAAGAAATTAAACTAACTATTCTGAAGATGAACATTATGTTTTGGGAGAAATGTAAAAATTCTCCTGTGTGTACAATCTGAGAAAGTTTCAGAACAGAGGATAAGGGCATCTTTTTCCTCTTTCCCACTTGCAAGGAATATTTCATTTCAATATACAGCAATACATCACTCGGACCTGTAGCTGGCAGTCATATGCATAGCAGGTAAAGATTTCTGGAGCACAGAATTAAAATAAGGCATTTTTCTCACTTGTCCTCAAATTCCCCTCTCCCCAAGCTCCTAACATTATGATGGTGCTCCAGTCTGCTTGGATCCCTTAATAGTTGCTATTATGAATAGGGAATACTCTGCCATGTTTGGCTGCAAGTTTCCATTAATCTTAATGTAAACTTTAGCAGTACTTTACTGGAAAGACATGCCCTCAACTTATGATTCAGTTTCTTGATCTCAGTAGTTTTAGTATTTAAATAAACTTAAAACAACAACGTAAGTGTTAGGGGTTTTTTTTTCTTATGGCTGCCTTTGCTTTCAGTATTAAAATTGTATTATTCAACTGTATAACCACCTGACAACATAAGACAGGATGGGAAATGCGTGGCTTTCCATAGTCAGCATAGGCACTAGTGCAGGACAGTGGAAGTTGCAATCCAGCAATTCTAGAGACCTCATTCCCCATGCCTGTTAAGGATAGCATTAAAATAATTTACTCAACTTTTAAGAATGAAGTCAAGTCACCAAAAAGTTTAAATTTTCAAATGCGTTTAGAAAGTGTGTGTCATAACTTCAGAAATGTATTCAATTGGAATACTCTACTGAATTTCTTCCTTCTTCCTTATGCACTTCTCCCATCAACAGCATTCCCAAAAGCTTTTTCTGATCCTCCTATTCTAGGCAGGCTGAAATGTAGAGACTGAAGGGGAACACCAGAAAACAGGCAGATAGGTATTCTGTCGGCAAATCCCCACCTTCAGCTCTGAGAAACACTACCATCTATCAGAGGAATTTTAAGAAGCCATCAGCAGTACTGCAGAGTAGAACACACCTCTTTCAAAATGGGTCACTATCACAGACTGGTTGAGAAAGGTGGTTCAAAACACATATCTTCTGGCAGAGGCACAAAGCAAATGTTTGTGTGCAACAAGAAATAAAGCTGAGCCCTACTTGCTATAGAAATAGGGAGTGTCTGCCAGGGTAAAATTTGTGGTTTCCTGAATGGGTCTGCTATCTGATAATTGTGTTTAGGATTATGTATCATTTTTACAGGGACAGCTTTAGTATGGGCTGCTATAAACCTATGTGCAGCTCTGGAAGTGAAATCCAAATTAATACAATAGGATTTTTTTAGGAATATACATCCACAGAAGTTGGCTAAATGAGTAAACAAGAAAGGACAGATGAGGAAAGCGCACAGTATAGTGAATTTGAATGCAGGCAAACATAGGTTCACACTCAGTCATAAAAGCAAACTGGCAGCCCTGAGCTTTATCTCCGAGTCTACCCTGTTTCTCAAGGTTGCCATAAGGACAAAATGGGATAGATATATATGATGATCTGAGCTCTCTGAAGAAATTGAAGGGCATACATTAAAAATTATTAACAGAAAAAACTACTTATACTAGAAACAGGGCAAAGCATAATTTGTAAAGAATATTCAACAGTGTCCAATGCTGCCCCTTCACCAGCCAGACCTACTGCTAGTGCAGTAAGAAGCTGGTAGTTCCTGGAGGACTGGGATGCAAGCAAAATGCTAATATCCAAAATCGGGCAGGTTGGCAGAACTTGCAGACCAGAGTTTTGTGGAGTTATCCCATTCCGGAAATTAGTATTTCTGCTCATTTCTAGGATTGCTTTAGGAAGTGCTAGCTTCTTGTTGTGTTAGCAGTGAGCTCAAAAGAAAAAACAGATCTAGAGCAAATCACTGGATCACCCCAAGTTGCAACTTCAGCTGACTTCACCCTTGAGAGGTTCTCCAAAAATGGCTTATGACTGATACATAAATGTGCTTTGTTGTTATACATTAAGGCTAGGAATAACTTCACATACATTTCACAGTAATCAGTATACTAGTTACAAGGCAGCCAACTATTATTAGATACCTCAGAAAAAAGACTGAGGAATAGAAACTTGCTTAAGTCTACCTATTATATTCGGAGCTCATCAACATCAACTGGGCCTAGTTTGGTCAAAATGCTAGTAGTCCAACAATCTATGGCTACCTGGCTTGAGAAGAGACTTCCTAACTTGCTAAATCAGTTAGTCATGACATCCAAATTAGAAAACTGTGCTTTAATGCCAACTATAATCTTGGTTTGCAAGACCTGCATCAGTGATTTGAGCCCTCGTGTGTAGGCAGTACCAGGACCTGAACCACAATTGCATAATTCAATTTCCCATGATGTCTGCTTTAATAAACCAGTAAGTCTCCTCTCCAGTAAGTAAGCTAAATCTACAAGGACTAGGGAATGGAGGAAACACTCAAGCTTGTTTCCAGTCTCTGGAAACAGTGTTACATCCGAATTAGGCTTGGTATACAATGCTTCTGAATTTTGACAGATGTATAAACAAAGGTAAAATCAACTGCTATAGTTATTTTGTGTTAAATATCCAAACTCAACAAATCGATTCAATCAGTTCTGTGATTTTAAATCCACTTAATAGGGAGTAAATCCTAATGAATGCAGCAGGGCATACTTCTGAGTCAGCATGTACATAATTACATTGTAACAAGCTCCAAACAACTTCTGAAACTTTAAATTTGATCATTCAACTAACAGCTCCCATATAATCAGTCTGGACATCTTTTCAAACTAGGATTCACAAGAATGTACTATCTATATGAACTGGCACCTTCACTGCCCAATATGGGACTACACAAATTGTTGCCACAATGTGTGTGATCATAACAGTTCTTTCATCAATTCTTATACAGCTGGGTCCCAAACCCACCCTCAGATCCAAATATTCCAAGCTTGTGATGAGACATGCACAAACCAAATCCTAAAATACTACTCAGTTCAATATTGAAGCACAATGCAACAGAATCCAATTTCCAGGTATTTGGAAACATAACAGCAGTCCCACTGGACCACACAAGAGCTCTATCTATTAAAGCATCATGAATTTTGATTGTGGAATGCATCCATCACAACTCCTAGCATTAGCCTCCACGAATTTGTTTATCACATTTTCAAGGGCACAATGCTGTGGAAATCTAGACAGAAACAACCACTGCACCCTTTGAGCTATCTAAGCACTCAATCCTACAAACTGTATCTTCACTGCTTGGAAGCTTCTGAGCGGGCAGGCACACCAGGGAACGTACTCTTTGCCTCTGTGATCTCTAATCCGCTGTGTTTTCACTGGACAGGTTTTCCAACCTGTCCAGTAAGGTCATTTCTAAGGGAAGGGAAGGAAAAAGGAGGAGGATCAAGACAGATTATATACTGGCCTCTCCACCCACCAGAATGCACCCCCTGTCTGAGGGGAACTTTGGGGAGCCAAAGCTTTGATGCCAGCTTTGATAGAGGGAATCTTTCACTTTCACTTCCAAGAACTGAATGTTGTTTCTTTGAAGGGCTTTCCCAAGCCATGCCATAGTCACTGGGACACTTGCCCAGAGACCACAGAGTTTTTTTTTTCCATTTGTGGTTCTTACTATATTTTGTACAAATTCAATAATTTATTTATATGCTGTATCAAGTATAACTTAGGTTTTTCCTAAATCTCCCACCATGCAGCTTCAGTGAATAATCATACATTGAAAAGATGCATAAATGCCTCCCAATGCATCTCCTCTATACCAGATATAACTGTATAATCTTCTACCTTGTCTTCCCAGTACATGCCCTTCTTAATTCACACACAGCTTTACCAACAAAAGTTGATTTTTTTAAATGCCGCAGATAGAAAAGGGGCTGTTTACAGGAAAAAGAAACAAGCGTTATGAAAGATGCTGGTCAAGATTTTTTTTTTTTCTTTTAAAGTAAGATAGAGAAGTGAACGCAGCTCTTTCGAGAAGCAGTGGGCCAAAAAGATAGGCCTTGCCACTGAAGCTTTACAAGGAAGGCCATGCTGTGAATGAGAAGCCTTGCCCGGAAAACGTACTCCGTTAGGACATAAAAACAAAAACATACTGTTCCTGAGCCGATTTCTCGGCGCCGTTTGAACAATGGGAGAACACACCTGGAAGCAGCGCCTTCACCGAAAGCCGTCTAGCGAGCAGGTGAGAGGGAAGCGCTGTGACCAAACCTCATCTAGCCACGCTCTGTGGTGGGCGCCAGGCGAGGAGAAGGGAGCGTGAGAGCCTCGCCACACCCTGGCCCCACCTGTGCGGCAAGGTAAGCCGCCTCCGCGGTTGGAAAAGCCGCTGCCAGAGGAGGGCAGCGAGAGGCTGGGACTGCCGAGCTGCGGGCAGGCAAAGAAAGCGGGGAGGCGAACGGGCAGGAACCGCCCGCACCTGTCACTCATGAGGGCCCTCAAGCTACCGCCACCTCGTTCCCCATCCTTCCCCTCCCCTCCCCTCACCAGGTGTCTCCCTTGCGGAGAGCTGTCTTGAGCAGCGCCGCGACGTCCGAGCGCTGAGTCTCCAAATCCGCCGCGCCTCCCTCCGCCATGTCTCCCAGCCCCGCGGCGCCAGCGGCAGCAGCTGCGAAAGGGAGGGCAGCGGCGACTGTGGTGGTGACAGGAGCGGCGGCAGGAGCGGGCCGCGCTGCATGCTGGGAGTGACGCCGCACGGCGACCGGGGAAACGCCCTCTACGACCCCCTCCCACTTCGGCAACCCCATGGTTGGAAGCGGGAAAGGGACGAGGGAAAGAGCGGAAGGAATTCAAGGCGGAAAGACCGACATCTTTGAAGAAGAGCGCCATCACCCGGCTGGGAGGACGTACTTTTCGCAGATGAGGGTTGCGCATGCGCGGTTCTGCTATTCTGCTTCTGCTATTAGAGAGCTGGGCGTGGGGTGTGCAAGGAATGAGGAAGGATGTTGTGTCTCTCTGTGGGATGAATTATATGCCTCTTATTTACGTATTATTTATTACAGCTCTATTCCGCTTCATTCCTGTGATTCCGAGGTGTTTAGTGGAATGTGGGAGTTTCCCCTATAGGTTCCTTGAATACGAGAATGTTCGAATCGCAAAGGCAGATTCTAGCAAATCGGCTATTGCCCTATATGCTGGTAGAATTGCGTAGTCATCTATATGGATTCAGTTCCTGTTAATTGTTAAACTAAATGAATAATAATAGCAATGTATTCGTAATGCGCAGGCCCAGACAGAAAAAAATTCCACCACTTCCCAGGATGTCCCAGCCTAGTATGGGACACGGGGCATGCTAGGAGTTGTAGGCCATTTTTCTGTGTAAGTTTGCGTAGGATTGTGCTCTTGATAAACATAGACATTGCATAACACGTGCGTGCTTAAAAGAAATATGAGGAAGAGGGAAGCGGTTGAAGAAAGTGTGGGGGTGGGGGAATTACTGATGTTAATGAACTTGGCAGCAAATGATGTGAATGATGTTTTTCATTAGAACTGTCCCGTATGCTTCTTTCCAGACATTTGTTTTTGTAAATCCTGGATCAATAGTGAACAGTAAAAGCAGAATTAAATCACACAGTTAGTGTGTGAAGCTGGAGGGAGGGATTGAGTTCGCAGTCCCAGTTCCAACCTCAGAGCAAGCTGCCAAAATTAGAAATGGAATTCTGAGAAATCCTGCGGCTGTCTAGACATTAATACTCATAGGATTCTTTCCTAAAGGTACTACTGCACATTGTTGCAGTGTGGCTTTTTTTTTTTTTTGGCCACTCCAGAGCAAGACTCTACGACGGAAGAGTCTATATCACCAGAAATGGTGTCTTATGCACTCTTCATGGGGCTGCCCTTGAACATGTTTTGGAAGCTGAAGCTAGTGCAGAATGTGGCAGCAAGATTAATCACTGGGATCTGGAGGTCCAGATATGTAAGACCAGTTATGGCCCACCTTCACCAGCTGCCTGTATGCTACCAGTCCCAGTTCAAAGTGCAGGGCTTAACCTATAAATCCCTATATGGTTTGGGACCACAACACCTGTTGAAGCTCAACTTCTGGGACCTTCCTCTGGGTGTCAACCCCTTTGAAGACTTGGAGGATGGGAGCTAGGGGGAGGGCCTTCTTGGTGGTGGCCCACCATCTTTGGAAAAATCTCTGTGCTATATTTGGCCTGGTGCCAAATTTGCCAGCTTTTCAAGTGCCAGGTTGAGATAGCCTCTTTGCAGAGATATTTAAAGCTCTTCTTGGCCATCAGGGCCTCAGTACAATTAGCCAGGTGCCTTTCTTTTATTCTTGGCCTGTTATTTCTAAATTGCCCTTTTATTGTTTCTTAAAATTTTCATGGTATTTTAAATTATTTTTCAATTCTTAATGTTTTTACCTGTTGGATTTTATTGTTTTTAATACTTTGCTGGAAATCACTCAGAATGCTTAGGCTGCTGGTGGTATACAAATGAAATGAATAAATAATTATAATAAAGATTATACAAAGACTTCCTGTGATCCAGGGGTAAAAGGGACTATATCAAAAGGACCTTGTGAGCTTTGACCAGAATGGAAATTTATGAGATTGATTTAGTTATGTATTAGATTTATATCCAACCCCATTAGCCAAAAAGGCTCTCTTAGTTGGACATTATATTCCCTCACAAAGAGGGTCAAACATTCCCACTGGAAAGAGGGGTAATAGAGCATCCCTGTAACTCTCACTTGACCTGCTGAACCTGTCTTGAATAACTTCAGACTTCTCCACCCACACTACACCTTGCAAACAATTATTTGACCATCTCATCATTGTTTTCATTCCCCTGCCTTCGGAACATCTTGTTTGACAAGGGGCATCTTGAAAGCTTGCACAATTTATTTTGTGATCTGTTTTCTTCTTGTTGGTCTAATAAAGGTATTTTAGCAATATGGATTTTGTAACCAAGACTATGTTTTTGCTGAAGTAGACTAATACAGGTTGTGTTCTGGAAATATTAGATACAGGATGTATTTACTTTGTTTATGCTGCAATCCTACAATGCTAGGGAGTAAGCCATTTTGGATGCAGTATTTATTTCCAAGTAAACATGAGTAGATAACCACAGGATGTTTGTATGCTCTCCTTAAGCTAAAATGGCAAAGAAGGGGTGCTAAAATGTAAGGCAGGTAAGGGTAGGAGCAGCCCAAATCATGTCATAGCTATTTAGAAGCATAAAGCTGGAGTGGGTCAAATAATTACTTGGATTCTTAAGTATTTGTAAAGTACTATTCTGTTCCTTTACACTTGCAATTTGATCCTGGGTATGTTTATTCAGAGGCAAGTTCCACTGGGTGGGACTTGCTCTTAAGTGCACATAGGACTGCAGCCTTAGAAGTTTAAAATATTGCATATTTGATGGGAATGTTAGAAATCTTGGATGTGGTGGAAGTATGGGGATCACCTTACTGGTGAGAAAATATTGTTCATATTATTCAAATATTCATATTATTCATATATTCATCAATACATTTTACGGTTGTATTTATACTGCAAGATCCAACACCAATCACACTGAGACCAAACAGAAGTAGTGTTGTCTCCAAACTTGGGCAAATTGTGGTTTGATTTAATCATAGCTTAGGAAAACAAGCTATCTTTAAGTGGTGGTTTATGAACCTGGGTTATCCTTTCCGTTAACCAGGAGTAAGGAACCTGTAGTGCTGTAGAACATGTTGAACTACAAGTCCAAATAATCCCAGCCTATTGATGGGGCTGATGGGAGGTGAAATCCAACAACAACTGGAAAGTGGCAGGTTACCAATCTTTATACTAACCATAATAAATGTGAAACATAGTTTCAGGTTTGAATCATGTTTAATTTAAACATAAGAAAATTTTGTGATGTAATATTTGGGGCTTTATCAAAGCAGAAAAGGGGAAAAAAGAGAGCATGATCCCAAAGGTCATGCATACCGCATACCTCTAGACCTGAACACTGCTTGACCACACAAGGTTCAGCAAGCTGTACTAAAACATAGGCTAATATAATGTCTGATTCAAATCTAAAATGGGCTGTCACAATGTAAGAGAGGAGTGATTCTGTTGTATTGACAAATGTTGGAGGGTCAGCCTCTATTCCTGTAAAGGATCTATAAAGAACTGTTTTAATGGGGACAGAGTTCCATGCTGATGGATAGAGGATCTTCTTTCACACTAGATCAAGATTTTCTCCAGTGAATCATTCTGGTTTCCTGTCCTGGCTATTAAGCTAAGATTAGACTAGTTTTTTGGTTCTAACAAATCAGTCAAACCATGTTAGATGCACCCAAGCCAGCGTATATGGTGGGGTGGCCAGACTTGCTCAGTGGAAGAGCCATGTACAGTAAATATCAGGTGTCCATGAGCGGCGGCAGTGGGTGGCAAGTAGGCACCCATAGGAGGTGGCAGCAGGTGGCGAATGGCAAGTGGACACCTGTGGGCACCCAGAGCAGTGAGTAACGAGTTGCAGAATAAGCCCATCCACATGTGGCTCCTGAGTCTTTGTTTGGCCACGCCTGCTATGCAGAAACCATGCCCATTTTTGGATATAGTTACATCCTAAAGTTTATGAAGACATTGTGTAATATTTTTCCTTCTTTACAAGGAAGTCCTCTGGTAGCTGGTAATTAAGAAAAATGCTTAAATGAAGCTGTATGCCATATTTAGGAGCACTAAAAAAATGGAAGTACTTTTGCTTCCCAATGGTAAATAACTCACTGTGCAGATTGTATGAGGTAACAACTAGTGTGAAGATAACAATGTTTTTCCTTAGGAGATGCCAAACAAAAGCTTTTATGAATACTCTATTCATAAGATTGCACAACTGGCATAAAAATACTGATTTACCTTTTTGCCTTGCAGTACGACAGGAATAGAAAAAGCTGGTAAGACAGAACTTTTTTCCTTCACCTTTAAACTATGTGCAGTCATATCTCTCTGGATGTCATTTACCTATCATTCTAATTACATTTAGTAGAATCTGATCTACTACATACTCTCTAAAACCTATGAAGGGTTAAAAAAGAATCCGGATGATCATTGAGCTCCAACTTGGACTCTTTTTGACCTGAATTATAGTTTTATTACAGGAAGATAAGCATTTTTCAGGAAAGACCCAAACCTGAAAATGTTATTAATTTGTGTTTGTTTGGAAAGTCTGCATATTCAGAATATTTCTTCTTGATGAAAGTTCAACAATATAATGGACTTGGTTGCACATAATGCAATGCGATTGTGTAGTTTGTTGACAACTGTCATGTCTATCCCTACAAACAAATGGATTTATATTTCTTATCAACCATAGCTTGTTGTGATGTCTGAACCCTAGAACAAAGATGCCTTGCAAACAGCTTACACTCTGAAGACTTAAAAGCTTTGCTCTTTTTGTAGATCAGAGATAGTGACAACAGTAAAATATCAGCTTTTTAGAGTTGGTTGGAACTGCTCTAAGGAAAAGGTAACTTTATCATTGTGATCTTTTGGCTCTTGAAGTTGACATTATGCATAGAATGAGTACAACTTTCAGGGGGCAGGACATGGATGACAGGAGACAAGACAGAGGGATCAGGGCAACAGAACCTGAAGCAAGATAGAGCTCAAAGTTCAAAAGCAACATTCAGTAACAAGTCCAAGTGATAGTCACAGAACAGGCCAGGGTCTGGGTCCAATCGTGCATGTTATCCAGTGGTGGTTATCCTGGTTCTGGCCACAAAATGGGACTTGCAACAACTCAGATCCTGACAACAACTTTTTGTTTTACTGGAAGACTGATAAAATTTTTTGCCTGGGTAAGAAAAGGCACTGAGATTATTGCAGTGGTCTTTCTTAATTTTAAAAATGGGCTTGTAAAAGTATTTACATAGATAGGTCTTTAGATGGAAAGGCCTTATTCTGCTTTATCATGGCTTTTCTGAATGTTATGATACCTCAGAAGATTGATTGGTCTCATTAATGCTAAAAACAAACTACCTTTGTACATTAATTTTGTCTTACAGGTATGAAAAGAAGATGCTAATGCTATTTTGTGCTAGGTTGGTAGTGTATCTGTAACTGTGGCATTACACTGATGTACAAGGATCTGGCACCAGCACATCAGCGCAAAAAGGGAGAACTCAGAATCTGTTAGAATGACTAAGAATGAGTTATTGTGGGAGTCACAGTAACTTGGTAAGTGTAATCATATTTGCGGAATATTTTTCTCTGTGACATTTCAAGTACTTGAGGAGTGTTACTGTATCTCCCCTCCCATCCCAGTCTTATTTTCTCAAGGCTAAACATGCCCATTTCTTCCAGTCCCTTGTTTCTAGTCCCCTGTCACCTTTTTTGCCCTTCTCTGAACATTTTCCACTTTGCCTTGTTCTAAAACTGTGGTTTCCGAAACTGAATGCTGTACTCAGCATGAGATATAACCAGTGCTGAGCCAAGGGAAAATAGTACTTCAGATAATTTGGAATGCATACTTCTGTTAAAGAAGTCACAGCTACTCCTTTCCTTTCCTTTCCTTTCCTTTCCTTTCCTTTCCTTTCCTTTCCTTTCCTTTCCTTTCCTTATTGTAGCCAGATCACATTGTTGCCTCATATTCAACTGGTGAACTACAAAATTTCCAAGATTCTTCTCACTTGCAGTACTGTTGAGCCAAGTGTCTTGCAACTATGCTTTTAGTTTATTTTTCCTTGGTGCAGAACTTGATGTTTGTCCCTATTAAATTTTATTCTGTTGTTTTCATCCCAGAATTCCAACTTATCAAGATCACATAGAATTTAGGTATTCTGTCCAATTTTGTGTCACCTGCAAATTTGATAAGCATTCCCTGCACCTCCTCATACAAATCATTAATAAAAATGTTGAAGAGCACTGGGCCCAGGAGACAATGCTGTGGTACCTCACTTGCTACCTATCCCCAGTTTAAGTAGGTGCTATTGACAGGGACTCTTAAAATCTGCTTCTGTAGCCAGCTATGGATGCGCCCAATAGATGTACCATCTAACTTGCTTTTAGCGACTTGGAGAAGCGAGAGAATAACAAAACAAAACAAAACCATCCACTTTTTGCTCTGTTTTTGCACATAGCTAATTGAAAAACAAACACAAAACAAATGAACCGTAAAAGGCCATTTTTCTGCATAGATCCCCTTTCCAACTCCTCCTACTTCTCCTGAAATTGCATTTTATTGTGTGATATGATCACATTTTCAACACGGCTCTGTATTCATTGGTAAGGGCCCCCCATGCTCATGATGCATTTTGCAGAAATAGTGACACTGTGCTCCTTTATAAGCAGACGTGGCTGTGGTGTAGCTCTCCACTAAGTTTAGGTTTGCAGCCTCAAAGACTGAAATACCATGTAACAATCTCCTTACTTTCATTCCTCCATCCCAGCTCCATCCTGAAATAACTTTGCCCTTATACAACAATGAATAAAAAATGTAGTAATCACATTAAACTGCTTAAGATCTACCGAAATCAGTGGACTTGAACATGCCTAACTCTGAGCCTGAATTAGGCCTCTAGATTTTCATTGTAAATTATATTGTGACAATTTTCATTCAAACTGTTCTAACACAGCTTCATATTCTGAATAAATATTCTTTTATCTCTGCAAAGCAAATACATGTGGACCATTTTTTGTACTTATTTGGTCTATTAGAGACAGTATGAAGATTCATGCAGCTGATCAATTAAATGTCTCATCTCACAGGTAGTCAACATGAAACAATATTGATGGATAACCACTTGGGGGCAGCAATTGTTCAACTATCATCATATCTGATATATCTGTTTATCTACCTGTCTTCTATATAACTTTTTAAAAATTTCAGACCCTTATGACATGATGGGAATGAAGCAACAATTTTGATTCATGCTCATCTTATTCTGTGTATGCCATGTGTACACTCTCTACATGATACAAAACTGTTTCTTAGGGGAGTCTAATATATACCACCTGATGTGGACTAAGTTCTTATTCAGTTCACTGAACATGGCTCAGAAAGCTTCTATAATGAAGTGGTAGCAGTTCCATTAAAGTAAATATACCATATTTTTCTGTAAAGATATTGTTGCTTGTCTGTCACTTCCACCCATTTCTCTCTGTCCAAGGATTCTGTCACCATCACTATCCAACTTGTTTTTATTTTAATCATGTCCAACCATGCCTTCTCTAGAGTTCATTGTTCCAACATAAATGTTTTGTCCTTACTACTCCAGCTCTTCATGGTCTCTTTGGTGATTTTCTTATTTCGTAGTATGGCTTTTTTTCCAAATGTCATATCTTATCATTGTTCAAATTATTTGAAAATATGTTTCAACTGTTGTCAAATATTCAAGCATTAATATGGCATGTTTTTTCTCTCCATTATGCTCTCTGGTATTTGGAGTCTATTTCCCAAGTATTGTGCTTCCTTCATTTTTCTTTCTAAAAAAAGTATTGACACATTTTGTTCTTCTGAACTTTTCCATAACTGCATCTCTACCAAAATTATATGTTTCTTCAAGAATATATTCTGAAATGAATTTACCCCATGAAGCCTTCCTCTGCCCATTGCAAGTTTCACACATTCCCAAGTGGAAGCATGGGAAAGAGAGCTCAGCGGAACCTATGGGAATTCTTCAATTGTTGGTGTTAGAACCATGGTAGGACTAGTTTATGCATTAGGTGTCTCCAGGTCCAATCCTATGCTTGTTAAGGCAGGAAAAAAATCCTACAACTCCCACCATTCTCCAGCCAACATGGGACACTGGGGGCCTGTTCACTGGGAGCCTGTACCTGCTTTTTTTTTTTAGCCATCTTACTATGGTTTTAGCCACCATTTCTCTGTGTTACCATCTCTCTGTATTGCCTTTACATACAGTCCCCTTGACTTAAGGCAGTGAAGGTGGCCAGTACTCTGTTTAAAGCATTCTGCTGAAGTTGCTCCTGCAGCGAGCCCGTACTGTGCTGTGGTGACAGGTCCTAATTTCCCTGGAACTGAAGGTTTTTAAAAATAGGATGCTTGTGTGTGATGATGCCTGAAACAATTCTTGAGCAATGATATCCATTACCTTGAACAGAGTTATAGAAAGTGAAAAAACAGGGCATAAGGAGATCTAGGGTCACGTAGTGGTTGAAGTATTGAACTGTGACTTAGGAGACTGGGATTCTAGCCCTCACTCAGCATGAAGATCACATGGTAACTTTGGGTCTGTTGCTGGCCCAGCTTAACCTACCTCACAGGGTTGTTGTGAGGATAAAATGGAGAGGAGAATCAAGTAAAAATTGTAATGACCAAATTAAGGTTTATTTTAATGAAATGATCTTTTAAAATAAGAGGCATCAAGAGTTTGTTCCACCTCAGTTTTAGACATCCAAGAGGATTTTTTGTTTTTTTGTGCAGCGGGTCTTAAAAATACAAATAGAGATTTCATAGACAAACAGGGAAGGCTGAGGGCTATTTTCCTTTGCCTCAAAGGATAAATACCACAATAAGGAGGAGACCAACCTAGCCCCATATATTAGCTAGAGAAGGAATAGCTGCAGGAAGAAAGAACACTTAAGAAAATTTTAAAATTAAGAACTGATTTTCCTTTCCCGCTTTCCCTCCTAAGCCCTTTTCCTTCTCTGCTGTGTCTTTGGAGGATAAGCCTGAGAGAAGGAGATGTCTTATAATTCATCTTTGCAAGCCATTCTGTGAAACTTTTTTGGTGGAAGAACAGGGGAAAATGTTATAAATAAATAAAAAGTGTGTGTCTCAAACACACTTACTGGCGGTCCCACAATTAGTATTTACTATGACTGGGACAATCCATATTAATTAAAATAACTTATGTCTGTAGTAGGAGTGGCTGGAAGATGGTTTCTGGTGTGGTGAATGACTTACACTGCAATCCTTTTAGCTCTTACCTTGGGAATAAATCCTATTGAACACAATGGGACTCTTTTCTGAATAAACGAGGATTGGGTTGCAATATAAAGCTGTGGCACCAAATACACTTACTAAGGATGAAGTCATATTGAACACAGTAGGCTTCGCATTGAAGCAAATATTCATAGGACTGCTCTGCTCAGAGATGAGTCACAAACTGAATGGTTCAGATTCTGTTTAAGTAACTGGACTGGACCACATTAGACAGCACAACAGTCCAAGGTTAAACACATTGTGGGATATTTGGGAACAAGTAGCCCAGGGCTGCTTCATCCCTGGAACCAGGAATTTGCATGTTAAGCCATGAGTTCCAAGTCTGAGCTGCTTCTTCTCCAAGCAACCCAAAGTTCTGGTTTTGTGCATCCCTGTTTAATATGGTGGGAATGGGTGGGTACCTGCTCACCTGCTTGCTCTTGCTTGTTCACATCAACCCATGGTTTGCTGAAAATGTAAGTTGTTATTTTATCCACACCAGCTAATTATTCTTCAATTTCCTCTTTCTGCAACATGGGGATACCATGGGTCAGACAGCTCATAATGAGCCATGCTGTGTGCAGTTTCCGTCTTGAGTATGCAACTCCATGGTGGCCCAGCTGTCTTGTGTAAATTGAACCGCTGAGATGTAAGGCAAGGGAAGGCAGAAGGTAGACCAGGATGCACTGGTTGGTCTCTGGGTGATTTGCAGTAGAACTTCAAGGCTTCCCTTTGATGAGTAAGAGCAACAACTACAATAAATGTTTTTAAAAATTTTGAGATTAAGCTTGTTTGAGGTTGACCTAGGAGTAAGTTTCTGCTTGAAAGGATTGGAAGCTCATTTCTAATACTTTAAGCAAATCCCTGGGCTGAGTATGTGCTCAGAATTACCCTATTATATAATTCCAAGGTTTCCTTTGTTAGAGCTACTATTTTGCACCTGGATCCAAGAATGTACTTCAGCATTCATTAAAAAAAAAACAAATAAACAAGACAGAAATAAACAAGCAAACAACAAAGTAGAGTTCATACAGTCCTGAAGTTTGTTCACCATTTTTGTAAGAATTGCTCAAAAATGTATGTGAAGTGATCTGCATATACTACTAGTTTTGTAGTAAACGTTATTAAAACATATTCTTAAAGTTTAGTAAATCACACTATGAATACTATTAAGTTTTGTCTCTTTCTAATAGTAAATTATTTCTTCCAATTGCTTATGTCTTATGTTCATTTTTTTGGTTAATATGTCATTTTAATATGTTAATGTATTGGCTTCTGATGGTTTACATTTTCTATGTATATGCGAGGACTCCTTTATCTTGGCCCATTGGTTTTCATCTTTCCAGCTTATCTGGCACAACTGCTGTCGCCAGATGGCCTTGGCTTGCCTTTATGGAACTGGAATGAGCCCAGAAGGGTATAGAAGTCATCTGATAGATCTTGTTAAACATAAACTAGTTCTCAGTGTTTTGTATTCTAAACTCTGTGGTAACAAGAGCAGATTCTGTTGTTAGAGTCTATGGAAACACTATGATCCTGCTAATTTAAGATTTTGACCTCTTTTTATACTTTGTACAAATTGTAAGATGAACTATTGGATTAAAACCATTCCTCCAGAACAAGCAAGCAAACATTGTACACCCAGATATAAAAATGTTGGAAACAATATCATGATAGTGTGTATTTCAAAGTATTAAAATTAAACAACAAGTTCACAATATATTGCCATCTGTTAGAAACATGTCTTATTCAAATAGTTAGTGCAAACATTGATGCTGAGGACTCTGTGCGTCAGTAAAGCTAGCACTGTTGATATCTCTGTAGTGAAGTAATGGGGCCATTCATCATTAATGTGCAAGTCTGCATTGTCCTTGCATTTGTAACAAATTTAGTTTGTTCACCAGCTTTTCTGAAATGCAATCTTTAGATGGACCGAAATTAATTTATTAGAGGTTCAGTCAATGCAACCAGCAGAGCAATCCTAGGGCCTCAGAAAGCATCGCAGGAAGCAGAGGATTTCTCAGATCCCACTCCCAAAGTTATAGTATAGACACTGTTCTGAATTTGGAAGGGGGGAATACATGATCAAGTCCCTCTATGACCCTCTTCATAGCAGCTGCAGAAAGAACCATGACGCATGGATTCTGAGGTTGCTAAAACAGATTCAGAAGATTCTGTGTAGTCGAAATGAGGTGTTCTGGTGGGCAGGAAAAGGAGAGGCCCAGATAGGAACAATCCTTACGGCCTCACTAGTGCACCTCCACAAATGTGCCTCTTCTAAATGGGCTCAAAAACCTGTCTAGAAGAATATATAAATACTCACACACATACACATAGGACGGAGAGGCAAAACCCACCTCAGTCAGTATTCCCACCCTGCCAACAGCAGCCTGTCAAGGCACAGGATACCTGGAAGCCCCTGTGAGAACATTCACTCTCATCTAGTAGGTGCCAACTTGATAGCGTTGTGTTGACCCTTAAACTGGCACAAACCCAACTTCTCCAGTTTAAGTGTATTGTATTGCTTGTTTCTTCTATATTTGTGCTAGGATACATCATAGTAATCAAAGACAACCTAATAATTTTGTGTTATAAAAGGAAATCATTTTTCTCTTTAGACTGAAAAATCTATTTTCATTTCCTATGTTTGATTAGAAACATTGAGAACACCATTAACAATCATCATAACTGCAGGTCATTTAGCCCGCTCAAGGTTTTCCCCTGGGAAGGTTTTTGTTGTTTATCAAAAGGACCAACTGAAGCACATCTGAATTGCTGCATAGTGGCATAAGAGAGACATGAAAGTAAGAGAGAAAAACATTGGATGGATGTGGCCCACAGTCTTTGTTCTATAGATATATGTATTTAGATATATGTATTTAAATATATAAATACATAAATACATTATATAAATGTATATATAAAATATAAATACATTATAAATATATTACAAAATATATAAATACATTATAAATAAATATATAAATATATATGTATTTAAATATATATATGTAAATAGATATATGTATTTAGATTTAATTCAGTTTGGAGTGGTATAATGCTGTTTGCAGATTACCGATGAAAAGCTTGTCGCTTTGTTTGTCATAAGAATTTGCAAGCTGTAGTTGGCAATCCAGGTTGCAAGGTTAATATCCTGCTTTTGTTCTTGAAAAGTTCTTAAAGCTCAAACATGATTAATGATGAAAAAGGCCTTGTTCACATGTAAAAGTAGTTGGCATACATCTCTAATGTCCTAATGATCATTATTACCAATGAGTGTTTGTCTATTCATATTTCTCAGTTCATCCCAATATTTTCTCCCAGTTACTACTATTCCCCCTTCCTTGA